TGGTTGATTTCATGTCCCAGCAGATTGTTTCTGTATTACCATTTAGATCTTTGATCCATTTTGATTTTACATTACTACATAGTGAGATATATGAGTCTAGCTTCAATCTTCTGCATGTGGATATCCAATTTTCCCAGCACCATTTATTAAAGACACAGTGTTTCCTCCAGTGTATGTCTTTGGCCTTTTTGTCAAAGATCAAATGTGCCTGGAGTTGTTTCTGCTTCTTCTATTCTGTTCCATTGATCTACATACCTCTTTTTGTGCCAATATCATGCTACTTTAATCACAGGATACTATAAAATCACATTTATAATATAACTTCAAATCTGGGATTGTGATGCCTCTTGCTTTGCTTTCGTTACTCAGGTTTGCTTTTGCTATTCTAGGTCTCTTCTGGTTCCATGTGAATTTTAGGATTGTTTTCTCTAGTTCTGTGAGAAATACTGTTGATATTTTGAGTAAGATTAGATTAAATTTGTAGTTCAATTTGATTATATTGGTACTGCCTATCCAGAAACAGAATATTTTTTCCATTTTCTGATGTCCTCTTTGATCTCCTTTTTTTCAGAGTACTGTAGTTTTCACTGTAGAGGTCTTTCATTTCCTTGGTTAGGTTAATTCCTAAGTATTTATTTTTTCTTGGTGTTATTGTGAATGGTACTGTTTTTCTAATTTTCTTTTTCTTTCTTTTTTTTTCTTTCTTTCTTTCTTTCTTTTTTTCTTTCTTTCCTTTCTTTCTTTTCTTTCTTTCTTTTTCCTGGTACCAGGGTTGGAACTGAGGACCTTGTGCTTGCCAGGCAGGCATGGCGCCTCTGAGCTACATCCCCAGCCCTGTTTTTCTAATTTTCTCAGTGAGTTCATTATTAGTGTAGAGGAATGCTATTGATTTTTGTGTGTTTATTTTATATCCTGCTACATAGCTGAATTCGGTTATTAATTTTAGGAGCCTTTGGTGGAATTTTTTGGGTCTTGTAAGTTCGAGGATCATGTCATTTGCAAGTAATACTTTGACTTTGTCCTTTCCTGTACATATTCCTTTTATTTCTTTCTTTTGTCTGATTGCTCTGGCTAATGTTTCGAGGACTGTGTTGAATAAGGGTGGTGATAATGGACATTTCTTGTCTTTTTCATGATTTTACATGGAAAGCTTTTAGTTTTCCCCTGTTTCATGTGATATGGGCAGTATTTTGGTCATAAGTGGCTTTTATCAGATTGATATAATGTCTTTTTATACCTATTTTCTTCAGAGTTTTTATGATGAATGGATGTTGGATTTTGTCAAAGGCTTTTTATGCATCTATTGAGATGATCATGTGATTTTTGTCCTTGCTTCAGTTTATGTGAAGTACATTTATCAATTTGCATATGTTGAACCATCCTTGCATACCTGGGTTGAAGCCTACTCAGTCATGGTGTATGATCTATTTGATGATTTGTTACTTCTTTTTGCCAGTATCTTGCTGAGGATTTTTGCATCTATATTCATTAGAGCGATTGTCCTGTAGTTCTCTTTGTTGGTTGAATCCTTGTCTGGTTTTAGGATCAGGATAATGTTAGCACCTAAGGATGATTTTCAGAATACTCTTTCCCTCTCAATTTCTTTAAAGAGTTTGAGGAGTAATGATGTTAAATTTTCCCTGAAGTTCTTGTAGAATTCAGCAGTGAATCCATTTGGTTTTGGGCTTTTCTCTGTCAGTAGGTTTTTTATTACTTCTTCAATTTCATTGCCTGTTATTATATTATTTAAGATTTTTAAGTCTTCTTGGTTCAGTTTTAGTAATTTGTATGTATCTGGAAATCCCTCCGTTTCTTCTGAGTTCTCCAGTTTTTTGGCATATAAGTTTGTGAAATAGTTGCTAATAATTTTCTGGGGGTATCTGTTGTGATTTCACCTTTTTCATTTCTTTGGGGTTTTTTCTCCTTTTTCATTTCTCTCTCTCGTGTGTGTGTGTGTGTGTGTGTGTATGTGGTACCAGAGATCGAACTCAGGACCTTGCGCTTACGAGGCAGGCGTGACATCACTGAGCTAAATCCCTGCCAGACCTTTTTCATTTCTAATTGCATTGATTTTTGTCTTTTCTTTTCTTTCTTTATTTCTTTTTTTTTTTTTTTTTGGTAAAATTAGCTAGGGTATGTCTATTTTGTTTATTCTTGCAAAGAACCGGCTCTTTGATGCATTGATTCTTTGTATTTTTTTAATAAATTTTATTTTACTTTATCCCTTTCCCTCCCTCAGCCTTTCTTCCCTCCCTATGTACAAAAGTTTTGTTTCCATTTTCGTGTTGTTGTTTTAGTCTCCATTTCATTGATTTCTACTCTGATCTTTATAATTTCCTTCCTGTACAAGCTTTGAATTTGGATTGTTCTTGTTTTTCTAAGACCTTGAGATGCATGATTAGATTCTTCATTTGGGTGCTTTCTGCTTTTCTGATGAGGGCATTCACAGCTATAAACTTCCCTCGTAGGACTGCTTTCATTGTGTCCCATAAGTTCTGGTATGTTGTACTGGCATTATCATTTAATTCTAGGGTCTGTCTTATTTCTTCCTTAATTTCTTCTGTGACCATTGATTATTCAAGAGTGTGTTGTTTAATTTCCGTATGTTTGCATTGTTTCTGTTTCTTTTGCTGATTTCTGTTTTCATTGCACTGTTATCTGATGATATGCATGGTAAAATTTCAATTCTTTTGCATTTACTTAAGTATGCTTTATTAGCTAGAACATGGTCTATTTTGGAGAAAGTAGCATGTGCTGCTGAAAAGAATGTGTATTCTGTTTCTGTTGGGTGGAAGACTCTGTTGCCATCTATTAAGTCCAATTGTTCGAAAGTTTGGTTCAACTCTGATATTTCTTTGTTGATTTTTTTTTGTTTAGTTGATATATTTTGATAGAGTGCTGAGGTCTCCCACTATAATTATATTTATGTTTATCTGATCTTTTATTTCCATTAGTATTTGTTTTATGAAGTTGGGTACAGTGTGGCTTGGTGCATTTTGTTTATAGTTATTATCTCTTCCTGTTGAATAGTTCTGTTAACCACTCTGTAATGTCCTTCTTTGTCTCTTTTTTTTTTTCTTTGTCTCTTTTGATTAGCTTTGGCATGCTCACTTCAGCAGCATATATACTAAAATTGATCAGCTTTGGCTTAAAATAAGTTAGCTCCTCCTGCTTGTTTTCGGATTCCTGTTGCATGGAATTTTTTTTTTCCATTGCAGGCTTATCTTTGAATCTACAGAATTAATTTGTTTGGGGGGAAATGGGAACATTTAGTTCAGGTAATATGTTAAATTAGCAGTGTGATACCCTCATTTCATTATCAGCAGTTCACAAGGTGAAGAGCTTAGCATTGAAATGTCTATTCAATAAATGTGGTTGAGCTGGGAATAGTCATGCATGCCTGTAATCCCAGCTCTCAGAAGGCTGAGGCAGGAGGATCTCAAATTGGAGGCCAGCCTAGTCTACACAGTGAGTTTAAGGCCAGCTGGAACTGCATAGCAAGACCCTATCTCAAAGGATAAAAAAATAAAATAAATGTATCTAGGTACTTAAAAATGAGTTGTTTTAGGGAGGCTAAGATGGGTGGACAGCTCGAGCCCAGGAGTTTGAGACCAACCTGGGAAGCACAGTGATACCCTACCTCATCTGAGGAAAAAAAAAGAAAAAAAATTCGTTTCCTTTTTCTTTTCTCTTTTCTTTTCTCTTTTCTTGTCTTGTCTTGTCTTGTCTTGTCTTGTCTTGTCTTTTCTTTTTTTTTAAGATAGAATCTCACTGGGAAGCCCAGACTGGCCTTGAATTCATCATAATCCTCCTGCCTCAACCTCCTAAATTCTGGAATTACAGATATGCGTCACCATCCCTAGATTTACTTCCTTTTTCAGTATTTTACTTTATGTGTTTTAATGTAAAACAGCTAATTTAATGACATCAAGTAGCCAGACCAAAAGGTTATTGTTGTTTAAATGATTGGGGGAGAAGGAGTAGTATTAGGGATTGAACCCAGGGCCTTTGCACTGAGCCACAGTGGACCCTCAAGTTATGACTAGCCTGACATACGAACAATTTGGGTTAATAGGTTAATGGAAGATTCATCTACCTCTTGTTATCTAAAGTGTATACCCAGGTAAACATCCAGATCCCAGCTGTATTCACTTACAACCAACTTGAGTTACAACCAGCCCTTGGGAATGGATCGAGTTCATAAGTCAAGGGTCCACTGTTTATTGCCAGGTCTCTCCCCCTTTTTTTTTCTTTAATTTTGAGACAGAGTCTGAGTTGTTAAATTGCCCAGGCTGGACTCAAACTTGTGATCCTCCTGCTTCAGCCTCATAGAGTTCTGGAATTGCAAGCAAACAGTTTTTTTGTCCCTTAATCAGAAAGTAAGCTGGGCACCCAACTACTCAAGAGTTGCTAAAGTTCACATGAGCCCCAAGGCCAGCCTAGGCAACATAAAGCGATGCCATCTTAAAAAAAATTTAACTGGTTAATATGATAACAATAATAATAAAAACCAGGCCCAGTAACATACACTTGTGATTCCAGTTACTTGGCAGGTTGAGGCAGGATTAGAGGATCACTTGAGCCCAGGAGTTTGAGAGACCAGCCTGGGCAAATAGCAAGAGCCTTTTGGGGGAAGGGGGAAGAAAGAGGGAAGGAGGAGGGAGGGAGGAAAGAAGGAAGGAAAAATGTAAATTGGAGGCTGGGGGTGTAACTCAGTGGTAGATCATGTGCTTAGCATGCACAGGGCTCTGGGTAAAATCTTCAACAACCCTCTCCCCTCAAAAAAGTAAACATGAAATACGTTCTTTAGCAGAGGCAGTGGCTTTCACTAACAACATCTTAGTTGTTCTCCTGTCTGGTCAGGTGAAAATCTAACAATACAACTATTCTCAAAAACTGAGAGTAGCACTTTTTCTATGTTGTCTTTCTCGCTCCAAACATACTGGCTAATGATTTCGCACATGTTTAACAGTACCACTGTCTCTTCTTTCCCTATCTAGAAATGGCTGGAGCTTTTGTGGCAGTGTTTTTACTAGCAATGTTCTATGAAGGACTCAAGATAGCCCGAGAGGGTCTCCTGCGTAAGTCACAAGTCAGCATTCGCTACAATTCCATGCCTGTCCCAGGACCAAATGGAACCATCCTCATAGAGACACACAAAACTGTTGGGTAAGAAGATTCAACAGGTCTACATGGAAATTCTACAGAACTGGCTTAGTTTAGCAGCAAAGCAGCTATTAGTAGTACCCTTCTCCCTGAGTTAGTGATTCTACATGACCTCCATCAAAACTGTCTTTGGAAAGGTTTGGAGTTGTGGGTTGTAACAGGCCAAAGGCAGAGTGTTAGGAACCCTTCTATAAACCCAAATGTTTCTTCTGAGTTGTCACAATGGAAGAAGGAACTAAGGTTTCCATGTTTTATAATATTTGCTAAAATAATAATTAACAGGCCAAGGATTTAGCTCAGTGGTGCTGCCTGCCTCACAAGCACAAGGTCCCGAATTCGATTCCTGGTATGTATGTATATATGTATGTATGTATAAATAAATAAATAAATAAATAAATAAATAAATAAAATGATAATGAACAAGTTAGGAATTTCAAACTGGGCATGGTGTTAACATACCTGTAGTCCCAGCACTCAGGAGGCAGAGGCAGGAGGATTGCTGCAAGTTCGAGGCCAGCCTGGGCTCCATAGTGAGTTCAAGCCCAGCCTGAACTACGTAGCAAGACCCTTTCTCAAAACAACTAAAAAAAATAAAGAAAGGTAGGAATTTCAAGTTAGGATATAGAAGAATGGCATAATGCAATTGATTCTTTTCTATACAAAGTTATACCTAGCTCTATTAATGTGTGTGTTCTAACAGTATTTGAATGATTATTGGTTTTTCCTATTTATTCGCAAATGCTTTTGAGGTGGATTTAATATAAATGTCATCTTAAAACTAGATTAAACTTTATAAGATCCTGTAGGTCAACATCCTGATTTCAAGCAAATAATATTATTTATTTCCATTACACTGTTGAGCTTCCTAAGGGCCCAAAAGGTTGAGATTTCCTTAAGATGACACAGAGAATGAGTAGTAAAATCTCCTGATCTCTAATTCACTAATTTCTACTATACCATCCAGCTCTCAATTCAAATTCCATTTTGTTTTTTTTTGGTACCAGAGATCAAACTCAGGACCTTGTGCTTGCGAGGCAGGCGCCCAGAACCACTGAACTAAATCCCCAGCCCTAATTCCATTTTCTTGTAGACTGTGAACTTTGCAAAGATGGGAGTCTCAAAAATATTCAAGCAAATACATATGTGAAGGTTTAGGATTTCCTTTTCAGGATCCAGAGTAGAGATAAGTCAAGATTACTTCTCCTTTTACCCTCTTCTCAAAAAGTGTAGCTCCTACCAACAACACATAACCATATCTGTCCAGTCCTTGTATCCTGACAGCCCTATGGTATTTTGTTTCAAGGACCAATAAAACACTTGCATATTACCAGTGAGTCGCCAAGTGGCTGTCAGGAAGTCCAGTTGAGGCTGACCTCTTTCTTCTGATCTGCAGAGCTCCTGTGAATCTGATTATTGTGTCCCTATTTATTCCCCAGGCAGCAGATGCTGAGTTTTCCTCACCTTCTGCAGACAGTGCTGCATATCATCCAAGTGGTCATCAGCTACTTTCTCATGCTTATCTTCATGACCTACAATGGATATCTCTGCATTGCAGTGGCAGCAGGGGCCGGAACAGGATACTTTCTCTTCAGTTGGAAGAAGGCAGTGGTAGTGGACATCACAGAGCATTGCCATTAACATCAGAGTCCGTGGTGTGGCCTTATTGATTGCAGTGGGAAGCATTTCAAGACTGGAAGACACGATTCCTGCTCCAATCACCCCTTCTTGTTCCTGTCTCTTTACACACATACATAGACACCTGGTGAATAGAGGTTTAGTTTACAGTTTCTTTTCTGAGGAAAATCTGTCTTTTCTAATAAGCCGAGATTCCCAATACCCTTGAAGAGAAGCCAGCCATGAGATGTCTTCTCCCTCATCATCCTAGATTCTTGTCTAATCTGGGTAGATTTCTAGTCAATGACTTGATCATCTGCTTCCTTTTTTTAATCTTTTGGGTTTTTTGGTTTTTGTTTTTAACAGACAATATGTGAATTTGGTAGTTTTTCCCTGGGTCAGTGATGGAAAGAGATTAACTTCAGCCAGGATTGATGGCAGCTGAGGGATATTCTTGCCCAACTAACCCCCAAACTCAAACTTCACATTAAAAATTGTGCTCTAGTCTCTGGACCCCAAAAGGGGAAAATACATTGTGCCTTTCTCTAGGTGTGATGTTTTGCACCAAAATCTTGGTAGTGTGCGAAGGAGTGGTTTTGAGACTAAATATAGGCCCAGAACTTGTAGAGTGTGTATTCTTGAGTTGCTAACTCATTAGCTTGTGTTCCCACTTAACATTTTTATTAGAATGAGCTTGTAAATTTTTTAAAAAGACAATCAATTTGAAAAAATAGACTAGACATTTTTAAATAAAACCATTGGCATTTTACTTTGATTTGATACCTTTGTTTGTCCCAGCTGCACAAAGCAAAAGAATTTTTTTCCCCTCATTTTTACTTTTACGTGTCTTCCTCCAAAGCAGTAATTTTCAAACTTTCACCTGCATCAGAATCATCTGGAGAGTTTGTTAAAACACTAGTTATGGGGCCTCAATCCCAGTGCCCCAAATCTAGCATCTCTGAGTTCCGAGGTGATGCCCTGCTGATGGACCAGAGGACCACACTTTGAGAATATTTGCTTTAAACTAAGGAAGTAAGGGCCGGGGATTTAGCTCAGTGGTTTCGCCGCCTGCTGCGCAAGTGCAAGGACCCAAATTTGATCCCCGGTACCAAAAAAACAAAACAAAACTAAGGAAGTACACCTGAGGTGGGTGGGCTCCCCGATATTAGGCATGAGAATTTGAATTCCTGGTTGGAAGGTGGTATGTCTGGGCATACCTCACATAGTAAATGTTTCTGGTCAATACTTAATCATTCCAAAACATTAGTTCAGCTCCAACTGCGTGTATGTGCACTCACATGTGTGAAGGACTATAACCAAAGTACTTTCATCAGCATGTACAAAGTCATTAGTCCTTGTTTTTAAAGATCTGTGATTCCTTGGAAACAGTTCGAAGGCTGAGAGAGACCTTTGCTCTGCAGTATAAATGAGCCAGTCATGGGCCAGAAGAGCAAAAGCCCAGCTTTCTCTTTAGAGAGACATGAGGTATGGTCTGCTGATGCCCAGATTTTCCTCAGCTCCCAACATCCATGTCCATACTAGGTACATTCTCACACCCAGCATGACCACCTTTATTATTACTCTTGGGGGCTTTATTAGATCACACGTGGCCAAAACCTCTTTTCTCAATGAAGAATCACATTGGATTTTTATTCTGTTCAGTTGTTAGTCTACATTGCAGTCTTGTTCCCAAACTACCTCTTTAAAGTGATTCTTCTTGTGCTGGTCTGTTCATTCCTGCCCTCTTTGGTGCTAGATCCAATTGTGCCTCAGGGCAGAGGAGATAAAACACAGTCATCCTGTTGTCCTGTGTTGTGGTTTTGAAATTTGTACTTTCTCTGTGGGTACCAGTTAAATATTGGAGATCAAAGAATGTGTACTTCTACATCTGTGAACCGAGAGAGGGTTTTGAGCCTACTGGATTGAGATTGAAATGCAAGAATCAACATTTAGAACTTTGTACTTTTCTTACATTTCATCTCCTTGTAGTGCTGATACTTAGCATGAGCAAAGTGAATGACAGGTACTACTCAACAGCCCAACATTAAGATAGAAATAGCCTGTTGTGGGCCAGTGATTTAGCTCAGTGGTTTCACCGCCTGCTGTGCAAGCACAAGGACCCGAGTTCAATCCCTGGTACCAAAAAAAAAAAAAAGCCTGTTGTATAAACAGCTTTTATTCCTTAGAAGCCAAGAAATAATAAAACCATGAGTTGTACATAAGAATCAATGCTCAGTGGTGACTCTGGTGCTCTCTAGAAGTCTCTCGGCATGAGCTGCTATAAAATACCTTCCAGGAACAGGACCTTATCAGTGGGGTGAGAAAAATCCAGGCCAGTTAAGATAAAGTGCTACAAATTTTTTTTTAAGTGCTATGAATTTGAAACTCACAGAAACCTTAGTTTGGGACAAGTCTTCAAGTGTTTGGGGTAGAGTTAATCTGAAAAACATGAATTTTATAGGTCCTTAGACTAGATTGCCAGTGAAGGAGAAAAAGGTTAAAGCTTAAGTTCCATCTTTCTTGAGTGCTTGGATTTTGATGACACAGTGATCTCAATGACTTTCATTTCTGTATCTCTGTTCATTTGGAATTTAATGCCTGACCTCGTTGACTGTTTTGGATCTAAACTATTTTTTTCTTCCATTTTCAAATCTCTTAGAAGACTGTGTCTCCATTTCTTTGGCATCTTACTTTGCTGTCTTTCTCCTTATCTTTCACTCTTTTATCCTGTGGCCATTGCTATGCCAGGGATATAACTACCAAACAGAAATTGGTATTTATAAACCTGGTAGAGACCTTAAGTATGTGTCTTGATGCAATTGCCCCACTGGAATTTCTATTAAGCTAGGTAAAGGGCTACCTAGTACCCTCCCCAGCATTACAAATCTGAGGTGCTTGCTGTCTCTCATTTTTAATGAACACTCAGCACCCTCACTGGCTACAAATAGAATCCTCACTATGTCCACCAGAGGATTAGAAATTAAAGTTTCTTCACTACTTCCATGGTAGGATTGTCAAAAATTCCCTATCAGGCTGTGAGTATGGGCATTAGGTTCCAGTCACAAGGGGTTCCTTATGCGGAGCTGGGGCGTGAGGCAGGCAGTACATACTCATGTCTTGTAATTTTGATCCTGCCCTCTCCAGCCATTTCTTCAGAAGATACACCTAAAGATACAAAGTCTGCATTTGAAATAATGCCTTAATCACTGGGTCTACAATTCATGTTGACTGTTTTAGATTGTAAGCTCCTGAGAGCAGTATTGCTGTAGGAATGTTTTAACAGTGTCATGTGCAAAGGAACAAAATAAATATTTTGATTTTGTGATTCTAATATGTCTTTCTGCCCAAAGTGGTATCAGAAGCTGTTCTTCAGTCTGCATGGAGGCTGGCCTGCAGCATCAGTTTTTAAGATGTCAGTCTGTTAAGTGGCACGATCCCATTGTCATCTCACTCTCCTCTACTCTACTTAAAATGACCCTAGTACATGCCAGATCTACGTGACCTTTTGCATAGGAGACAGGTTCTTCATGAAGCTGCATGTATTTCAGTATACCAATGATTCCTGAATTTAAAAGCTAGCCGTTGTCACATGATAATCCCTTCCCTGTATTTATGCCATCAAGAAGGAGGGTCTGAACTGGGCCTCTTAAGTTCACTGCAAAACTTGTGATGAGCCCTGCCCCTGCCTGTCCCTCTGGTAATGCCAGAATGCTGGTGTTGCTTGCTGTGCTGCTGGCCCCCAGTGGGCATCTTGTCATTCTTGCCATTCCTAGTCTCCTCCTTAGTATAATATGAAGAGCAAGGACTTTGGAGTCAATAAGTTTGACTCTGAACTCCACCATTTACTAGCAATGTGACATAAGGAAAAGTTATTTTAACAAACTCAAAGCCTTAGTTTTCTCATTTACAAAAAGGCAGTAATAGTACTTACTTGAATTAGCAATCTGGGTAAGGCACCCCACACAAAACGGGCATCCAAGCCATAATATGTTTTTATTATCTCGTGTTTATGTTCTTCCTCCAGCTTTCAGGAAAATGAAAGATAAACACTTCTAGATAAGGCTAGTATCTCTTTACAACCTCCTAACCAACTTCCTGAGTTTGGGTAATCCAGAAATGAACAGATTCTAAGAGTTGATGCATGTGATTTCAGTTGTGCCAAGAGATTAACAGTGCAATAAGCTCTGGTCTACTGATCTGGCAATTGCCTCATTCTGGTAATAAAATAGCATGAAAATTCCCTGAAACCTAAAACAGTAACCTCACAAACAGTAACCTGATATCTCCACCTTCTTAAACTCAGCAGAGGAAGACCAAGAAAGCAATGTAGCAATGAAGTTTACAGGCATGAATTCAGAAAGCAGACTGCCTGTGTTCAAATCTCAGCTCTACAACTTAATTGCTGAACTTTAGTAATTTTTGTAAAATTAGAATTACGTGTCCTTACAGGAGTTAAAGCATGCAGTAGTATCTTAAATTCATTCCTCAGTGCTAGTTATTAGTAAGGACAGGGAAGATACTCAAGAGGCACATTGTTTTCTTGCTTCTGTGGCAATTCATGCTAATTTGTGCCAATTTGTGCTACGGATTCATAGCAACAAAGCTGAGGCAATCTTCTTCCTTCGATTTTTTGTTTGCACTTCCACAAGGCTTCAATATAACTTGATTTCCCTATCTAGAGACAGTCTTGAGGGAGTTTTGTTGCTCTTGCTTTTAAGATGGTAAAATAAAATTGACAGGTTGTAGATTAAATTGGATGAGTAAAGATTTTTTAAGAATGTCTAAAATAAAGGAAACTATTATATATCTCTTTCTATCCCTGACTCTCCCACATTTTTACTCAGATTTAAACTATCCCTTAGGGTAGGTAGAACCCAGTTTAGGGCCTCTTTAGAACTGATAATTCCATAGGTATTTACTACCACAGATGGTGGTTTCTTGTCCTTGAAATTAGTGGTGAAACAACAGGGCATGATTCAAGATTATCCTGAGCTGTGTTAAGATAGGTTCCTGCTGGAAAAATTCTTAGACAAGTTGAGATAGGAAGAAAAACTAGAATAACAGTAACATTGTCAGGAGAGTTCCTCAAGTTTTGCTCCATTTTCTGTCCTCCCAATGTTTACTCAAACTAGTTGCAAAGTTATTCAGGAAAACAGATCGGGCATTTACAACTTGCTTCAATTTACTCAAAATCAATAGGATCTAATAGCCATAAGGGCAGAGACCTTTGCTGATTAGACATGAAAGCCACTCAATAAATACTTGAATAAGTGAGTTAAATGAAATTGATAAGGACCAACCAAAAATGTTCTGTGCTTAGAGTCTTTTAGTAAAGATATGAGGAATGATGTTACCTTTTATAGAAGTTCCCTTTCAAGAAAAAAAGTTACCTTTCAAAGCCCAGGGCTTAGCAGTGCTACTTAGCTTCATTAAGGATGTCTCACAATTTTCCAAAAATATATTTATTTTTAAAAACAAAAATCAGATGTTTTATGGAGTAAAATTTTCCAGAGACAAACCAGTGTTCAAATTCCAGCTTAGTGTGAAAGTTGAACATCAGTAATTTCATACAAAATTTATCTTTCTTGGCAGGAGGTAAAATATTCTGCTTCACTGCATGTACTCAATTCTCTAAATCTGGTATTTCTTCCATCATTTTATCCCATTCCAGGGCTGTTCTGTGCAAGGGAATCCATCTTTAAAATTCAAAACTTCCAAACTGAGATGAGCGATTGTTTGGCTTGGGTTGAGGTTTATAACCAATCCGATCATTAATCATTTGTTCCCGGCTCTTGGGGTCACTACTGAGCCCAATGGCTCCTTCTCCATCATTGCCACCTATAACATCCACATCTTCCTTCTGTTTCTTGCGGGTCTGAAAGTATAAAAATTTTAGGATTTAAGGCAACATTCTTTCAATTAGCAAATGTTCATTTGGTACCTAGTATGTACTAGGCATGGAGTAAAGGAAAGGGTTATGGTCTAATAAACAATAAACTGAATATCCTAGTTTTGGGTTATTTACAGGTATAAAAGGGATACAGGTATGTAATGATAAAAGATAACCTCTACACTTACTCCAAGATATCACAGTCTAGTTGGGAAACAAGCAAATAGGCTATTTAGCACTGGATGACCAGGGCTATGACAGAGGGAAGCCCACATTGTCAGACACAAAGAACTGAGAAGTTGAAAGTATGGTAGAGCAGGTTCAGATCAGGAAGCTGCAACTGGAAAGATACCTGAGAGCTAGTGGACGAGAAAGAAGGAAGAGTGTTTCTGCAGATGTACTATTCAGAAGAACACATGGAAAATAGTGTGACTGGTAAAAAAAAAATAGTAATAACCACCAAAAATCCTTGAGACTATACAACACTGGAAAGGCTTATGCTGTCTTATGAAAAGGTCTGAGTTTTTAGAGCTACAGATGCAGCTCAGCGGTAGAGTGGCAACATACACAAGACCCTGGGTTCAAGCCCCAGCACTACATACACACACACACACACACACACACACACACACACACGCATGGGCACACCTGTACGTAAGTTTGGGGACTTTTTATGTTTTGAAGTTTAAAATCTTTAATTTTTTATTGGGGTACAGTACCCCAATTTACAGGGCAATATACCTGATATAACAGAAAAAGCTACACCAGACTCAGGGACCTAGTATTTATCTAACTGATGCTACCCTGCATTTGTTGCAAACTAGCCATGACAGTGCTGACCAAGAAGGGTTTCCTATTTAAGCTGTAATAACCTTTCTGACTATGGGTTATTACTTCTTCTCTGGTAGATTTTTAGATTTCCTGTAATGCATCTGGGACAACTGTCTCAAAGTAATCTGTAGCTTTTCTGACAACTCTTCCCTCTCCTAAGAAATGCAGCCCTTTTCTGCTATGTTCAGAAGCCTCTGCTACAATATCTACCAACACAGGGACTGCCCGAGCTTCCTCCATCAAAATTGCCCCCCCCCCCGCCCCCAGGGCCAGGGATTTAGCTCAGCGGTATCACTGTCTGCTACACAAGCCCAAGGACCCAAGTTCAATCCCCGGTACCAAAAAAAAAAAAAAATTGCCCCCCGCTTTCATATGTCCAAAATTTTACTGCTATTTTCCATTATAATTTCCAAAATCATTGTGAAAAATTCGATCTGTAGTTCCTGATTGGGAGAGCAGCTCAGCTGTTTTACTCCCTGGAATCACTGCCATTGTACACCACTTACTGTGAACTGTGAGCATCTAAAGGTCAACATCAAAGTACTACAGTGAGTCAGAGCGGGGTGTGGTGGCACACACCTATAATCCCAGTACTCTGTGAGGCTGAGACAGGAAGATAGCAAGTTGGAGTTCCACCTAGGCAACTTAGTGAACTCCTGTTTTAAAAAAGTAAACAAAAGGGCTGGAGATGGAGCTCAGAGCAAAGGTCCTGGGTTTAATCCCCAGTACCTAAAAATAAATTAATTAATTAAAATTAAATTAAAAACCCAAGTATTATAGTAAACCAAATAAAGTACAGGTTGAGTATCCCTTATCCAAAATGCTTGAGACCAGAGGTGTTTCAGATTTCAGAGTTTTTCAGATTTTAGAATATTCAAATAAACTATATAAGCATCCCTACTCTGAAAATCTGAAATCCTCTAAAATCCAAAACTTTATGAAGTTATCTTTATGCAACAAACATAATGGCCTTCCTGACTACTCTTTAGTTCATCTACACAACCAATAAGTGACATTAGAAACTTGGACCCAAATACTGTTATGAAAACAAGCTCTAGCAGGTGTGATGGCACAAATCTGTAATCTCAGCATTCTGGGAGGCCGACACAGGGGGATCACAAGTTTGAGCCCAGCTTGGGCAACTCAGTGACTTCATTAGACCCTATCTCAAAATTTAAAATAAATAAAATAAAATAAATAAAAAAGCTGGGGATGTAGCTCAGTGTAGCTCAGTGCAAAGACTGTGGGTTCAAACCTCAATGCCACAAAAGAAAAAAATTAAAAAAGGAAGGAAGGAAGGGAAAACAAGTTCTAAAATGCAAAAGACCATCATTCTGAAGATATCTAACTGGAATGAAAATATTTAAAAGGTTTCCCACTCTGAACAACTGGTGGCTGTTACAAAATCTCATCACACTCATGAAACTAACTTCAGTTTTAAAAAATGAAATACTAGTTTTCTACTGATTCCATTTTAGTTTTGGGCAAGACTATCCTTCCTTCCTAAATTGCTCTTAAACATGTCAACCCACTAGACAATTGTTCTTTTCTTTTTCAAACAAAAATGTTTATGAAAGAATAGACAATACAAAAAACACAAACATACAAACAATCCCACCTCCTTACCCTAGGTGGGACCAATCAGGCCTTATAAGTGAAAAAAACCTTCTGTTTTATTTAGCATAATAAAACTTACTGCTTAGACTTTACCAGAAAATTCCCCCCTTCTCATAATTCCCCTAGTATTATATAAGGTTATATCTACTTCTAGATCCTAAAGTTTCTGCATTTTAATGCTTGCAAAACTCATTTAAAAATTATGAATGTTGCTTCTGTTTTATATTCTGATTAAAAACTCATACTCAAGGGCCGGGGATTTAGCTCAGTGGTTTCGCCGCCTGCTGCGCAAGCGCAAGGACCCGAGTCCGATCCCCGGTACCAAAAAAAAAAAAAACCCTCATATTCAAAACACAAAAAAACCAAACAAACCATATATGATGATCCAAATGGAAAGGTTAATTTGTTAATTATGGTTTTTTTTAACATCAAAAGCAGTAGAGTTCCTGAATATAATTTGCTTATATCATAAGTACTGACATTGAAATATGTGTATATAAATCACATTTAGGCTCCGTAAACTGAAAGCTCTCCATAAATACATAGAAGTATATATAAAGTGCAAAACAAGTGAGTTCAACATGAGAGCTCTGGAATTTTAGGACTCCCACTCCTTAGATTTCAAGTCAAGATAGCTGAGGATGTTCTGGGCCAGCTTCACGGCTTGTTTCCTGGCAGCCTTACACTTCTTCTCTCCCTGTGGTTCCACGGCATCCAGGGCCCGCAACTGCTTGGTCAGCACCTCCTCCAGCTGGATGTAGTTCTTAGTTCGATTTCCATTAAATGAGAGGACTTCCTCCTGGATCTCCGACAGGTTTCCAAGAACATCGAAGACTGCCTTATTCGACAGGTGCTCCTCAAAAGTAAACTGCTTCCTTTTCTCCAGGGCCTCCTTCAGGTCAGTACAAGTGACCAGAGTTTGTACTTCAATCATAGCTCTTCTCCTGGCTTCCCAGATGCAGGAGTTTCTTTCAAGACTTACCTCACCCAGGTGTCCAATCATACCCTGTGTTTTTGTCTTGGAGCTCAGGTACAATTCGGGAGGGTTTCGAGGTTGAAGAAATTCATTTTTTATTTCTCTTGTCCTCTTGAAGACCTTTTCAATTTTCAAAATAGAATGGTTCTGCCTCTGGTCAAATGTGTGAGTAGTATCTCAGCTTCCTCTTCTAAATCCAGATACTTCAGTAACTTCAGCAATCAGCCCTGAGAACTTGCATGATAAGTGCCTGCAAGTCTTATTACTGTCCACTCCCATCAGAAGCGTGACAACAACACCTCTGGTCTTGTTCACTTCACACATCAGAGTTGATTTTGTTGACAGAAGGATATGCACTTTCAGTGAGTGGCAGGGAAGGCTGCTTTTTCATGAAGTCTTTGATAATCTCTTGCACAGTACAGATTTTGGTTAGAGTGTGATATTGCTTTCTGCAAGGAGATCTTTCCTCTGGTTTTAACATGTATCAGCCTCAGAATGATATCCTGGATGCCTTCCTCAATTTTATCAGTTATGCAGTTGCCTCTGCTATAAAAGGACATGACCTTCTCTTTCACAAGGGCTCTGGCTTCTTGGAGATGTTCTGTATGTCAAACCAGTGTGGGTGGTTTGCATTCTCCTCCAACTCTTTGAGAAGGTGTTTTGTCTCTTGCACCACCCTCTTCCTAGCTTGCTGAATGTCTCCTTTTCCTTCTGTATCTACAGTCTATTTCAAAAAGTTGTTTTAGGGCCGGGGATTTAGCTCACTGGTTCTGCCACCTGCCTCGCAAGCGCAAGGTCCCAAGTTCAATCCCCAGTACCAAAAAAAAAAGTTGCTTTGTTAGAATCCTCTCCAGTTTCTTGTAATTCTTGTCAATTGACAGACCACTGAAGCTGATTACTTGATATTCTATACTTTTTATTTCCCTTTGAATTGTCTAACACCTAGTAAAGGAAGTATGTTGGTTTCCCATATCCACACTTTTGTCGTGTTCAGTTGCACAAACACTATGTCCCCCATGCCATAGCAGTCTGCTGCCTCCACTTCCACAGTGACACTAATTACCTCTACAGAAAGACCAACTGGATAGCGAACCAACTCTGCAAAGTTCAGTCTGCTGACATTTATACAAACTAATTACAACTGAAGTTTAACCATACCTAAAACACATGCTCAGTAATACACTATCAATAGAAGTTCTTAAAACGTGATTGCTAAGGGTCGGGGATTTAGCTCAGTGGTGCCATCGACTGCCTCGCAAGTGCAAGGTCCTGAGTTTGATCCCTGGTACCAAAATTAAAAAAACAAACAAACAAAAAAAAACATGATTGCTGGGATAAAAGAGGGGTGGGGAATGTAAGCTTATCAGTCTTAATACAAAGCAAGCCTATCATGTTTATGGATACATCCAAGATATAATGTCACCTGCCCTATAATACAAATATGTATTAGGATGGGAAATGAAAATAGATTGTATTGGGGCCAAGGATTTAGCTCAGTGGTTCCGCCACCTGCCCTGCAAGCGCAAGGACCAAGTTCGATCCCTGGTACCAAATAAATAAGTAAATAAATAAATAAAGCAAGCCAACTGTTAAAAAAAAGAAAATAGATTGTATTGAACCCTCCTTTGGGAAGAGATTGCAGAGACGGAAATACTAATCCTTTTTGTTTGTTTTTTGAGACAGGGTCTCACTGTGTAGGTAAGGCTTGCCTGGAACTTGCAGCAATCCTTCTGCCTTAGCCTCCCCAATGCTGGGATTACAGGTGTGTACCACCATGCCCAGTAGATATACTAATTCTTGCTTAAAGATGCTTATTGCCCAGTGGAGGAAAAGGGAAAAACGGACAATTACAACAGAGTGATAGTACCTATGAGAGAGGTCGGCACATGGGGAAGATTCTAAACTTAGCTCAGCCAGGTTCATGGAAGGAGATGCATCAACAGATGAAAAGGAGTCAGCCTGATAAAAGAAAAGGGCGTTTCAGGCAAAGAGAACACTGTGTTCATAGGAACTGAGATTAAATTTGAAGATAACTTGGCAATTAAAAATAAAGTAGAGATGAACACCCCTACATCACAAAGGGCCTTGTATGCCATGCTAAGACATTTGGACTTTTTCCTGAAAGCCTCTGAAGAATTTATGACTTATAAATGGACATCTAATACTATATAGCATGTATTAGATGTAGTAAGGCCAAATTTAAAAGTACATATTGACAGTGGAGTATGGTGGTGCATGTTGTTATCCCAGCACTTGGCAGGCTGAGGCAGGAGGATCACAGTGATTTCTGAGGCCAGCCTGGGCTACACAGTTAATTCAAGCCCAGTCTGGACTATATAGTGAGACCCTGTCTCAACACCCCCCTCCCCCAATAACTGTAAATTCTAAAAAATGCTATGAAAAAAACCATGGTGCTCAGTGAGAACCTAATCAAGGCAGCTCGGACAGGAAGGACACACCCAATTGGATAGGGTCAAAAGAGCCTCTCAGACCAGGAAGGTGACATTTAAACTAAGACTGGAAGAAAGAAGATACACTCCAGGCAGAGCAAATTGGTATAGAGGCTGTGGAAGTGATCAGTGTCTTGGCATGTTCAAAAAAATGAAAGAAGGGCCGGGGACTGAGCTCAGTGGTGCCACCGCCTGCCTTGTAAGCTCAAGGTCCCAAGTTCGATCCCTGGTACCAAAAAAAAAAATGAAAGAAGCCAGAAGTAGTGGTGCACACCTGTAATCCCAGCGCTCTGGACAGCCAAAGCAGGAGGATCACAAGCTTGAGCCCAGTCTGGGCAATCTGGCAGACCCTCTCTCAAAATTAAAAAATAAAAAAAGGGGTGGGGATCTATGTCAGTGTGAAGGCCCTGGGTCTGAGAAATAAAAAAAAGAATTGAAAAGAAAAGAACACCAGTGTGGCTCAGGCAAAAAGAGCAAGGTAGATGGTGACATGAGGTGAACTAGAGAGAGGTTCAAACATACACAACCCTGGAAGCCATGGTAAGGAATTCAGATTACATTCAAAGTACAGGAAGCCACTGAGGAGTTTTAAAAGACAAAAAGAATATTCTGGAAAAACTTTTAAAGAGCATTCTAGGTACCTACCTCATGGAAAATGAACTGATAAGAGAAAAATGGTAATACGAAGACCATTTAGTATGCTACTACAATTGTACAGGGAGAGATGGGTGGATTCTAGAGTCTAGAATCAAAAGATTTAGACAGATTGAACAAAAAAGGTGAGGGGGAAGGGAGAACTTCAAGAATAACTGCTAGATTTCTGGCCTGAGAAGCTGGATGGACACTGAGGGAGAGGACTGATTTGAGGAACAAATTAAGAGGTTTGTTTTTTTTTAAACATTTAAGTAGAGTAGGCTGAATGGTGCCCACCCCAAGGCTATTAGGCCTTAATTCCTAGAACAATAATGGGGAAACTTTTAGAGCTTTCAATGACAGCAGACAGCCCGCTGCGGCATGTGTGTCACAGGTTAACCACCACTGTCCTAGAACCTAAAAATGCTGCCTTTAATAAGGGGAAAACTTTTCAGCAGATGTAGTTAAATTAAAGATCTTGAGCCAGGGAGATTCTTCTGGACTATCCAGGTAATACCTAAAACTATTCACATACATCCTTGTAAGAGGGATACAAGGAGATGTCACAGACAGAAAAGGAATAGGCCATGTGACCAGGGAGAAGATTGCTATGATGTGGCCACAAGCAAAGAAAGTCCAGCAGCCACTAGAAGATAGAAGAACCAAGACAGGGATTCTCCCTACAGCCTCTAAAGCGAGTGCAGCCCTTGAGATCTTCATTTTAGCCCTGATGATGCTGATTTAGATTTGTGGCCTATAGAATGAAAAAATTAATTTCTTTTGTTGTAAGCCACCAGTATGTAGTACTTTGCTATGGCAGTCACAGGACACTAACGTGTTACATCTGAGATACCTGTAAAGCATCAAAATAGAGATTTCCAATAAACTGCTGAGTCTAAGGTTCAGAGCCCCCTAGACTATCAGGTCCTAATTCCTAGAACCTATAAACATTCTTTTAAATATTTCCTAAGGGTCTGAAAGTAGTGCTTTTACCTCTAGGTCCTTTCGAATGTTCTCAAATTCTTCAATGTCATCAAGCTTCAGCTCCAGGCGCGTTGGTTTTCGTCGCAGCATACTGAGGTCAACACTAAGAGTGAGACCCAGTGAACTATTAGCTGTTAGAAGTGGCAGAGAGGAAGAAAAACTGCAAGTGATAAGTTGCAGCTACAAATATGACATCAATTTGTAAGTGTGCATACTAAAGCGAATGGCAATTCATTAGATTCACACAGACTCCTAAAGACTTTAGGTACCTGATTATTACATTTTCATTGCACAATATGGAGATCTATAATACTGTAATTTAAAAAAAACTCTTTCTGAAAGAACTTAAAACAGCAAGGTGCCAGCAAGAGACAATTATAGTCAACAATCACTTTAATTTCATGCTACAGTAACATTCACAAAAATATGCTAGCTAAAAAACTAAAGGTAGCCAGGTAAAGTGGCCCATGCCTGTATTCTCAGCTACTCAGGAGCCGGAGGCAGGAGAATCGCTTGAGCCACCTCAAGGTCAGCCTGGGCAACATAGCAAGATATTGCCTCAAAAAGAGAAAAAAGGAACAGTGCTATTATATCTTAGTCCATATAGTTACAGGGAGAGTGGACAAACCATTAAATTTAATCTGCTTTTCATGGGACTCATCAGAGATTGTGATCACTCCTGGAGCCAAAATCAGTTTGCTAAATATCATGAAAACTGTGAACTCACCAATTCACAGAATTATCTTCAGGTTCTAACTGGATCCTAAGTGAATAAATCATTCACTAAACAAAATCTTCCTGTACTCCAGCTACAGAGTTAAAAGGCAGAGACAGACAAGTAAACAGAAAACTGCAACACAGTGTAATAACTCTGACAAGGGTAACACAGCAGGATCACACAGGTACCCCCTCCAGTCTGGGCTGCACATGGGTGCACAGGGATGTTAGGCAGGGCTTCCTGTGGTGAAATTATCCCTATTTTACAAAGAAGTTGAAAGGAGCTGTTCAGTTTGGTTAATAACGCCAGCCTCCTATAAAAATTACATATAGGTCAATATGGTGAGGATTAAATGATGATGATGTAAATGAAAATTCTGTTAAAGTATAAATTACTATTATATAATATATAATTATACATAAAGATATAAATTACCATTATATTATATCTAGATTAAACAAAGGACTAGGAAATCTACAAAAGAAGAAACATTCCTTTCTCCCATGAGGCTTAGGACAGATACAGATGATATCAACACAAAACACTGACACATGACATTTCAAATTGCTTTGTACTAATCACAAACTATCTTGAAGACAAAGTACCAAAGAGGGTAAGGAAGGATACTTGGGGGGAAAAAATGGCAGGCCTTTTCTGCCAACTGTGAAAAGCTCGCCAACTCACTACCACAAGGCAGAATAGAGTAATGGCTAAACATCCCGGCTCTGGGGGGACAGCAGAGGTTCTAAGCCCACTACGCTACCGATCTTCAACAATTATTAGCTTTACCTCTCAGAAGACCTTAGTTTCTATGTCTGTACTTGGTTCGTGACTTGAACGACGTAATGCAGAGCAGACTCCTGAAGCATAGCTTGACACTTAAGAAAGCGTTAAAAAAAATAAATGCGGGAAGGCCGACTGGAATATAGGGTTGGGGAGAAGTCTGTTGTTCAGATCAGCAAACACAAATATTTTGAGAATCTTCACCTCTACCCGGCCATATTGGGGAGAAAAACAAGAAAAGAGACCACCTTATCTTTATCTCTTCCGTCCCAAAACCGGCAGTCCAGAGGGCCGCTTGCATGCAATTCACCTGATGCCTTCCTACCCATCATCCCATCCTATATCCAATTTAAAGAAAAGATTGACAGCAACAACAACAAAATCAAGCCGAAGCGCCTCCTCTAGATTTTTATTTTACTTAGGGGCTAGAGGTCTCGGAGTTTAAGCTCTCGTTGTGACCCAAATCCACCTCAAATTCACCCAGCTCAGAGGAGCCCCCGGGAGGATTTCCAGACCCTACAGAACAGCCCTCTTCCCACAGCTCCAGTACAGCACTCTGGGGTCGGGGTCCAGAGTTCCCATGGCAGCATGCCCTTCCGCTCTGGGACGACAGAAAGCGTCCCATAGGCCCGAGGACCCTCGGTTCGCTCTCGAGCTCAGTCCCCAGCCTACCTTTTTTCATGGATACCTACCTTTTTTCAAGCCTCAGCCCCTCCCGGAACCTCAGCTCCCACTACGAATCTATTGCTTGGCCAAATGAACTACATTTCCCAGACTGCTCTGCCCGGCTCTTCCCACAGAACCTCGTCTTCCGCGAGCTTTCGTAGGCCGCTCTACGGTCACGCCCTTCGAGAAGATAGAAACTCTACTACAGCACTACGACTTCCATCATGCCTCGCGCCTCCTATGTCACCGCCGCGTCCGTTTTGACTCACTTCCGGCTGGTGAAGCAATTCCGCTTTGCTGCGCGCGCAGTGGACTGTCTGAAACTTAGAGCGCGGCTTTCACTGGGGTTTCGCGGCCCCGGAGCTCGGCATGGCTTCTTCACGCGCCTCCTCCACGGTACAGAGCTCTGGATCTCAGTTCACTCTGGTGGGGAGCGCAGGGAGGGTGGGGGTGCCTGCAGGAATGGGCCGTTAGGAAGCAGACTTAAGGAAATTTGGGGCCGGAGAGAGAGACTGTGCGACTCCGATGTCCTAGAGAGTGGAGTAGTTTTTCTGATCTCCAAGCGCCTTCTTGTGCTGTAGCTCTCTGCACCTCTCCCACTGTGGCCCCGAACGATGAGCACTTCTTATGACTAGTCCAAAAACGGTGCTCTGAAATGGAGAAGTGTCTTGCCCAGGGTTTGTGTCCTGGGAATTTAATGCGGCCTCCTAACTCTCAGTTTACGCACATGAAAACGTTCGAAACGTATGGAGCAGTAACGTTGTTACTTGTCCCCGCTTAGCATTGTGTTGGTTATTTCAGTTATCCTTGATGTTTCTCAAGTGATGAGCAGTAAACTCAAGTATCATAAAGTCGATTGCACTTCCAGCAGAATGAACTAAACATGTTCCAAAGCAAACCTTTGATAGACAGTAACCAAGAGAACTTCACTAGTTTTATCGGCATCTTATTTTCTATCTGCCAAGTTTAAATGAGAGACTGAAACGCCCTGTCCCTACTCCCTCAAATCAGTGAAGAACAGCTTTACCTGAATAAAAGGCCTACCGCACTTAATTTGTTAATGTGTATAGTTTGACTTTAGGTTTGTGGACGAATTAGGAATCAAGCTCAGAATGATCATCCTTTGGGGGAAATCTGATAGATTGCTAAAATTAACCCGTAGATTAATCCAGGCCTTTGATTTAACAGGCAACCAAAACTAAAGCACCTGATGACTTAGTCGCTCCCGTTGTGAAGAAACCACACATCTATTATGGAAGTTTGGAAGAGAAGGAAAGGGAACGCCTCGCCAAGGGAGAGTCTGGGATTTTGGGAAAAGAAGGACTTAAAGCAGGCATTGAAGCAGGAAATATTAATATAACTTCTGGTAAGATGCAAATTACAAGTCCATCATTACCTTTGGTGCTCCAATTTTCTGTAATACTTTCCCAAACTTAGGTACTGCTAGTTCTTAATGTCAAAAACTTCAGTTCTTAAACTTGCTGCTGTACATTTATACTTTGCCTACACTCCTCTTAGCATCATCCAGAGAATGTTTTTCTTACAGGCTTTTACACAGTTTTTCTTTCATGAGTTATTAGTAATTTAATCAAACAGTGCACATTTGGGTTCCAATTGATTCCGCGTGACTTCTAGAGATCAAATAGAGTTCTAGAATTGGCATGCAGCTAGAGTTCATAACATTCATAATATTTGTTCATAATATTCTTTTTTAGTTTTTCACTTACTATGCAAAATGAAAACTTTTTGGTACCAGGGATCGAACTCAGGGACTTGCACTTATTAGGCAGGCACTGGAACCACTGAGCTAAATCCCTGGCCCCATAAATTTTGTGTTGTTAACTGGACATATATAAGTTTTAATACAGCTATAAAATACATAATTTTCTTTCTGTAGATGAAGCTATGACATATATATTGTTTTCTCCATTTTTCGCTGTACATACTGGGGCTTGTTTGTTTGTTTTTGAGACAGGGTCTCACTATGTGATCCAGGCTGGTCTTGAACTCACTATGTAGCCCAGGCTGGCCTCAAACTTGCAGTGATCCTCCTGCCTCAACATCCTGAGTGCTGGAATTACAGGCATGTGGTACAATACCCACCTCAGTGTGCAAACTTGAGGATATCTTACCATGTCAGTAACAAAAGTTTTACTTTTTTTTTTTTGAAGACAGGGCCTTGCTATATAGTTCAGGCTGGTCTTGAACTCACTGTGTATCCCAGGCTGGCCTTGAACTCAAGGCACTTCTTCTGCCTCAGCCTCTGGAGTGCTGGGATTATAGGTATTCACCACCACACCCAGAAATTGTTTCTTTTCCCCATTTGAAGATCTGGTGACTGTACTGATTTTGCCTGTTCTTCTTATAGGAGAAGTATTTGAAATTGAAGAGCACATCAGTGAGCGACAGGCAGAAGTGTTGGCTGAATTTGAGAGAAGGAAGCGAGCTCGACAAATCAACGTTTCCACAGATGACTCAGAGGTCAAGGCTTGCCTCAGAGCCTTGGGGGAACCCATCACACTTTTTGGAGAGGGCCCTGCAGAAAGAAGAGAAAGGTGCCCTTTCTAAATATGTCCTCCTTTATTAATCACTGGGTTCTAGTTCCAAATCTGGTTGATCTTCTAGCTGAAACTTTAATGTCTGAGATAGTGCTAACAGTATCTTCGATTGTGTTTATATAGTTTAGCTTTTGGTCGCAGTCTTAGACCAGTTTTATTCCACTACTGATTTCTCTTTATAACTGTGAAGAGGATGCCAACATACTCCCTTCCCACTCCAGGATGAAATTTTGGGTTGGATAAACATTGTTGAGCTCTGAAAACTTTGATATCAGATGCAATCCATATTAGTGGAACATAATAAATATTTTTTGGATATAATTAAAAGGTGCTATCCTTGCATAATGCTCTTCTTGTGATTTTAAGGTTATGAAGTGTTAGTGAAGGGTTAATTGTATGCAATTATGAGGCTACCTTCTTGACTTTGTATCCTGATGGGATCCTCTCCATCATCAGGCTTCTTGGGAAGCTGGTTTATGTTTACATCAGTAAGGTTCTTATACCTCATTTATTCTTCAACCACTGCAACCTGATTAACCCTTATCACATGGAAATTGTGCTTTATAAAACTCATCAGCCCATCTTTACTAAAATAGCTCTAGTGTACTGGCAGATACTCCCACCTCAAAGTACTCCCTTTCCTTCTCTGCTCCTATTTCTTCAGCTCATTCTTCTCACTTTCGAAGCCTCTTTTTTCTCCCTGCCTCCCTCCTTGCCTCACCCCAGTGCTGGTTATTGAATTTAGGGCCTTATATATGCTAGGTAAGCATTCTACCACTGAGCTACATCCTCATCTCTTTTTTTAAAAATTTTACTTCTATTTAAATTTTGAGATGTAATCTTGCTAAGTTGCCCAGGTTGGCCTTGAATTTGCAGTCTTCCTACCTCATTCTTCCAAGTAGCTGAGATTATAGGTGGGCATCACTATGTTTGGCTTCTTGCCTAGCATTTATAGCCTGCAGGTCTTTGCCTTATGCTATACTCACTCTAGGCCAGTGATGGCAAACCTTTTAGAACTTTCAGTGGTAACAGCCATCTCCAGGACGTGTGCAACCACCACTGCTCTTAAGTCTACATCTGTGGTATCATTTACTATGTATAACCTACAGACTCCCTGTAGTTCAGGCTCTTCAAACATGAGATATCTAAATTGAAGTCTGTGCCCCACCTCCTGTTTGCAGATGGCACTACCTTTCACACAGTTCTTAGCTGACAACCTACCTGACCTCCTTTTTTATCCACCGGCAAAATCCTGTCTGTCTTACTAGTGAAGTGTTCTTCCAGTCTGTCTTTGCTCTGTCTCCATATGCTTTCATATCTAGACTGTTGTGCTATCTGCAGATGTGTTAATTTCTTGCTTAAAATCCTACAGTGTCTGGGCCTAGGAATATTGCTCAGTGATAGAACACTTGTATAGCATGTGCAAGGTCCTGGGCTTGATCACCACTACCACAAAAAAATAAAATGAATCCTAGAGGGTCTTCCCATTACCCTTGAGGTAAAAAAAAAAACCAAAAAATTATCTTCAATAGAGCCTGCAGTCTTACCTTGTAGCACTCTTGTCAATTTACTAGACTAGCTGTATGGGTTTCCCAGAATACTCAAGTTCTTTTACTGTATTTCCACTTGATTTTCTCTTTTTGTTCTCTCTTGCCTTTTAGGGCCTTTTAATTCTTTGGTTCAGCATAAATACCACCTGTTCTAAGCCTAGTTAGAACTAGTGTAGTTAACACCTGGCCCCTTGCAAAGTATGTCCCTCTGTTTTCTATCAAAGTACATTATTTTAGGGCCGGGTCTTTAGCTCAGTGGTTTTGCAGCCTGCTGCGCAAGCTGAAGGACCCGAGTTCAATCCCTGGTACCAAAGGAAAAAAAAACAAAACAAAAGTACATTATTTTTATTAGCTTTTTATTGTTGTTTATTCCCTTCTCCGCCGGCAAAGTCTGTCTTATTTCATTATTATATCCCTTAGATGAATGCCTTGAATCCCTACTGCCACCATCTTAATTCAAGTCTACCAGTATGACTCAGAAAAATTCTGCAGCTGTATAGTCTCATTTCCCAGCCTTTATTTTTCCCTCTTAAGACTCTTCTTTCTACTGTTCTAGAGATTTTTCTCAAATGTAGGTTTGGGGTTTTTTTTAATACCGGCATTGAACTCAGGACCTTGTACTTGCAAGACAGGTGGTGGAACCACTGAGCTAAATCCCTGGCCCATCAGATGTAAACCCTCCTTAGCATACGTTAAGAGCGCTCAGTGACCTGGCCCCTACTAACTTTCCAGCCTTATCCTCCACCACTCGTTTTATATTCCATGCTCAGCTGTCCTGAACTACATGTGATTCAAAGCTCAACAAGCCTCCAGACCTTTGCATTAGTTTGACCCTCTGCCTCTGTTGTCATTTTCCCATTTTTGATCCCTTGACCTGACAAGAACTCAGTTTAGGTTAACATCTTTTCTCTGAAACCTTCCCTGATTGTCCACACCTATGTTTCGTTCCCTTTTTGTATTCTCCTTTAACACTATGCCTACCAATGTCATAACACTTATTGTAATGTGCTGTAGTTCTGTTACTTTCTCTCTTCCTCCTAGAACTATGCTACTTGAAATTTGTAACTATCTCTTAGTCATTGTTGTATACTTAACACCTGGGTAAGGACACACCACAGTGTGACATTCAGTGAAATGTGGTTGTCTTAGACCAGATAGTGGCAGTGTACAGGCTAGGAGACTCTAAATGTAAGAGGATAATTGCTTACGGTTGGATTTAGAGAATCTTGAAATAAAAATTGAAAGATATCACACTAGCCCTGGGGATTTAGCTCAGTGGTTCCGCTGCCTGCCTCGCAAACGCAAGGTCCCGAGTTCGATCCCTGCTGCCGAAAAAAAGAAAAGAAAGATATCACACTGAAGTTGAGCATGGTGGCACACACCTGTAACTGTAGCACTTTGAGATGTTTTTTTTTTTTGAGACAGGGTCTCGGTATATAGTTCAGGCTGGTCTTGAACTCAGTGATGCACCTGCCTTGGCCTCCCAAGTACCGAGATTACAGGTATCCACCACCATACCCTCCCACTTTGGGATGCTGAGCAGGAGGATTGCAAGTTCAAGCTCAACCTGGGCAACTTAGTGACTTAGCAAGACTCTAATCTCAAAATTTAAAAAGGCAGTGGGGGGGGGGGGCGCATCATACTGAAAGTTTAGGCATGCCCACTTAACACATAAAGACAATTGTTGGAAGTTTGATTGATAAGAGTAATAAGTAGACAGTATTTCCCCCTTCCCTGTGGTTTTCTTGTCCATGGTTTCAGTTATCCAGTCACCCACAGTCCAAAAATATTAAGTGGAAAATTACAGAAATGAACAATTTATGTTTTAATGATTGTACACCGTTCTCAGTAACATGAAAATCTTGCACCCTGCTCCATGCCACCCAGAAGGAAAATCATCTGTTTCTCATATTCATGCTATAGGGCAATCATTGGTATGTGTGGTACAATAAAATATTTTGAGGGGGTGGAGAGAAGAGACCACATTCACATAGCTTTTATTACAGGGTATTGTTAGTTGGTCTAACTGTTGATTCCCTATGATGCCTAATGTATGAATTAAACTTAGTCATAGGTATGTATGAATAGAAAAAAATGCAGTGTATGTAGAGGTCAGTACTCCCCATGGTTTCTGACATTTCAGCATTCACTGGACCTTGAGACATATCACCTTGGGGAGAGGGGTCGGGAGGGACAGCTGCATCTTTGACAGTCTTAACCACAACCAAGTTTGTATTCTCATCTTTTGGGTTACAGGTTAAGAAATATTCTCTCAGTGGTCGGTACTGATGCCTTAAAAAAGACAAAAAAAGATGATGAAAAGTCTAAGAAGTCCAAAGAAGAGGTAAAATATGTTTGGCTTCCCAGTGTAAACAAGAAAAAGGAAGGGCTGCTCTTTTTTTCTGTTTTCAAGTGGTTTTCTTGGAGGAGGAGGAAAATGTTTTTGAAGGTTCTACCGTTCAGGAATACTTGTGGACAATAGTTTGTGATTCTTGTGTGAATGTGAATGAAGCTACCTGAGTTTTCAGAAAAGAACTATAGTACCCTTGGTGTAACTCAAGAAATTATCTAATAAGACATCATAGAAAGAAATGCAGTAGAAAGTCCATATGTCTGACTTCATCCTATTACTGAACTAACTCACCTTCTTTGTAGGAAGTTACACTATAGGGTACAGCTGTGGGAGGCACAGGTGTGCTTTACTTAACTTTTCTGCTCTTGATTTGCCCTCCAGTATCAGCAAACCTGGTACCATGAAGGACCAAACAGCCTGAAGGTGGCTAGACTGTGGATCGCTAATTATTCACTGCCTAGGTAAGCAGAGTGGCTAGAAGAAAGAAACTTACTCTTTTGCAAGCTGAGGTTTGGCTTTGTGTCGGTGGTTATGTGAAATTAAGTTATAGTTATGTGCAAACCCTCATTGGCCATCCCTTTGCTGTTGGTAATAATGCTTTTGTTTCACAGGGCAATGAAACGCTTGGAAGAAGCCCGTCTCCATAAAGAGATTCCTGAGACAACTAGAACATCCCAGATGCAAGAGCTGCACAAATCCCTCCGGGTAAGGTGTTCTCAGTGATTGTCCGATATCTTATCTTATTAGATTTTTCTAGATTTTTCTACTTTGGTCCATGTTGAGTTAAAAGTAAAGGCAGCTACAGTTGTTTCTCCCTGCTGGAGCTGTTGCAGTATGGGTGGCACCATCAGTTAAGACAACAGGAAAGGACTATGCTTTGTATTCAGCACAGGCCGATGTATTGTGTCTTTGTATTCAGCACAGGTTCTGCTTTTGATTTCTTTCTTTTTGTATGTCACACCTGTTTTAAATCTCTCCAAGGGTTTCTGTTTATATGTAGCTACACAGAAATTACTGATAATAAGACCAGAAAGCTAAATTTGCAAATAAGCCTTGATTTCATTCATTCTTTAACATAAGTGTCTCCTAACAAAAGTGTAAGAGTCTTGGAATGGGTTAAAACTGAAAAGGTAGGGGCTGGGGATTTAGCTCAGTGGTTCAATGCCTGCCTCGAAAGTGCAAGGACCCAAGTTTGATCCCCGGTACCAAAAAAAACAAACAAACAAACTGAAAGGTAGGCGGGTAGGCTGGTTGGTGGAAAAGCCAAGGAACTTTTGAACTAGCCTATTAATGATCATTTGTCTTTTTTTTTTCTTTTTTAAGTCTTTGAATAATTTCTGCAGCCAAATTGGGGATGATCGGCCTATTTCCTACTGTCACTTTAGTCCCAATTCCAAAATGCTGGCCACAGCTTGTTGGTAAGTTCTGTTTTATTAAATGGGGGACAAGCTGAGAAAAAAAAAAAAAATCTGTCTTAGCTATTTATTTTTCCTCTGCCTTTTGTGGTTGCACCAAACTACAAATGCTAGGGCTCTACCTGCTGTGTAATAAGACATAGGCTTTGTTTAAAGTTCTTGCTGTTTACCGGACCCCAGAGATCCATGGCATATAGCAGTCTGTCATGTTCTCAACACTGGCACATTGGAGATAGTGAGTTTATAGACCAAGTTCTGTGATCTAGCTAAGATACATAATCCCATTAAGCTTCAGTGTTCTCTTCTGTAAAGTAGGGTGAGATAGTGTTTGTGAAGCATTTTGCCTTGATGGTGCCTAGTATGCAGTAAGGACTCAATAAATCTTCATTAATGGTTTCATTTGTTTTCTCCTACCACCACATGCACAAAACTCTTAGGATGTTGTAACTTTGTTGTTTTACTTTGGTTTTGCTTGGGGGTGCGGGGAAGACTTACATTGAATACACAGGAACTACTTAACGAGGCAGAAATTGAGATGGTGATTCAAGAAAAAGCCAAGGATCTGTGCAGATCACCCTACCTCTCCCAGCCTCAGTTACCATAACTGTAAAATAGAAATGGTTATTCTTGCCTATCTACCTCACAGGTTGTTACAAAGATCTTTTGAGATCGTATATATACTGTATAAAAGAGATTTCTTAGGAAATCCAAATCAAAGGTATTTTTTCATTTAAGTATTTTCTAGGTGGCAAAATGCGATTCAAATTTGAGATAGTATCATTTTAAATAGGTAATTTGTCCTGTCCCCCCTCACAGTTTGATCCAAAAGTTAAGAAGAATAGCAACTTGTGTACATTACAGTTGAGTAGAGGCTTCTAGTTGCCTCTCCTAGCTTATCTCTTTCCTCTGTAACACTTCACATTATGAGCTTTTTCTTTTTTCTGTCTGCCACTATAAAGTGTATGGGGGTGAGAAGAGATTGTCCTTTATTAATATTACCAAGATACCTTTTCCTTCCCAGACCAACCCTGGCTGAGATGCTTTCCTTTGTGTTTGATAGGAGTGGGCTTTGCAAGCTCTGGTCTGTTCCTGATTGTAACCTCCTTCACACCCTTCGAGGTAAGTTAGAATCTTGTTTAGATCACAGTCTTTTTCCCAGCATCAACTCTGATAAGCAGTAAAACTGCCTGATACACACCATGCTGCATTGACTTTTCTTAAAATTAATTGGTTAATTAATTTCTTCCTTCCTCCCTCCCTTCCTGTCTCTTTTTCTTTCCTTTGTTCCTTTTCTTTCTTTCCTTCTTAGATGAGGACTTGTGCAATTACCCATGATTGAAATCATGATCCCCTTGCCTCTTCCTCCTGAGTAGCTGAGATTAAGGGCACGCATCACCAGTTGATTCTTGATTTGATTTAACATGGTTTGGTTTTCTTAGACCACAAGGCCAGACTGTAGTGACTTTGTTACAGCTTTCACCTCGTGTCCAGCCACTCTTGGCATTTCCGGAACAGTGTTTAAACCAAAAAGCACAGGGGTTTTCTTTGTTTTACTTTTTAAATTTAAATGTTCATTTTGAATAGTTTCCCCCCCTCGCCCTTTACTGGGAATCCAATTCAGGACCTTGCACTTGCCAGGCAGGCATGGCGCCACTGAGCTACATTCCCAGCCCTGAATAGTTCTTTTTTAATAGTTGAATAATAGTTACTTTAATATTCAATGTCCTCTCTTGTTCCCTAATATAAACTTATTTGTACTGCAGTACTCATAGTCTTTATTTTGCACGTAGATTATAAAAAGACAAGAACCCATTAACTTTCACCTCTTACACTTCTTTAGGCCATAATACAAATGTAGGAGCAGTTGTATTTCATCCCAAGTCCACTGTCTCATTGGACCAAAAAGATGTCAACCTGGCTTCTTGTGCTGCTGATGGTTCTGTGAAGCTTTGGAGTCTTGACAGGTATTGTCATTCTCAGTCCATATTGCCATCCCTGAAGTTGGTAGGTGATTAGCTGCCCTTAGGACCTGAGGCATTAACCCCAGAGATAATGCAGGAGTCAGTATAATATAATGTGAAAATAGAATGGACATTTCTTTCTTAGACCTCTTCTTACCACCAGAGATGTTCCAGGTTTTTCTTAAATGTTAACTTTGGGCCTCAATTTTTTTTTTTCTTTTCTTTTTTCGGTACCGGGAATCAAACTCAGGACCTTGTGCTTACCAGGCAGGTGCAGCACCACTCAATCCCCGGCCCAGGCCTCAATTTTTTGTCTCTAGCATGGTGACCATTGTTCCTGGCTCCAGTTATTATGGAAAGATCTAAACTACCTCCTACACAGTAGATTAACATTGGAAAACGCCCTGTTTGGTAGAAGCCTGGAGATGCTAGTCTTGGCAGCCTATTGGCTCTTAACACACAGTCACAGGGGAGAAGAGAGCAGGGTTCTGTCTGGTATTGCCAAGGAACACTCCAGGTACTAGCGTCATCTTTTTCCTAGGATGTATTTTCCAACTACCACAGGTTTGTTTTTTTTTAATGTTATTTTTACTAGTCATCGGTTCCCTCCCCCACACCCCCCCAAGATTTTAGAAGCACCTTGTTGGCTAAAATATGAATTTGGTTGCTTAATTTTCTTTCTTTGGGAAAACACAGGAAGGTTTTTATTTCTTAGCTTTTTAAAAAGCTAATTAGTATCTCCACTCCTTGCCAGACTGGGTCTTACCTATGAGCACAGCAAGTTTTAATTGGCTTTGGTAATACTTAGCAGTGTTTATTCCCCTAGGGCTCTGGTTAGTTCCATGTGTGCACATTGATAAAAGTTGCCTTTTTTAATTACCCTCTTTAGAGTTCATGTTTACTTCCTTTCACTGGTGTTTCAGATCTTTTCTGTGGTTGCTGGGTAGCTGACTTTAATGACCATCAAAAAAGAGGCAAAGCCTCTGTCTGCTTAGGAGTTCCTTTTTCCATTTGCATCCTTGAATTGTCCCAAGATTTGAGAAAGATTTACCAAAACTATTTAATTTCTGTACCCTCCTATCTTTACCATCGTTTTCTTTCTAGGATTCAAGCACTGCTTTGGTGCTTTATCAGGCTAACGTATACCATTAAGAACTTGTTAGCACAGTGAATCGAAGATAGTGGTCAGTTTGCCCTGTAGGTACATGAAATTATCTCAAATTTTTTGTTTTATTTTTGAAACAGAGTCAGTGTACCCTCAGGCTGCCTTGCACTCACTATGTAATCCAGGCTAGTCTCAAACTCATGGCAATCCTCCTGCCTCAGCCTCCTGAGTACTGAGACTACAGGTATGAGCCACCATGCCCAGCCACTATCCCAAATCTTTTAAACCTTGCATAGTGACCTAAATTATTGTTAACCTTAATGTGGAAGATTTTGTTTATTTCTTTTGTCTTTGCTTTTCTGGGTGTTGAATCCAGGTCATGTTAGGCAAGCCCTTTACCACTAAGCCACACCCTTGCCTAGGCCAAATTTTTTTTTTTTGTACTGGGGCTCAAACTCAGGACCTTGCACTTTCAAGGCACGCTGCGACACCACTGAGCTAAATCCCTGGCCCAGCCCTAATATTTTAACAGATTGTATGTGTCGTTACACTTCAGTCTCAACTTACACAGAGTGGCTTTCTCTGTGCAACAGTACATAAATTCAGTGACTATTTACAGGTCTTACAAAACCGTTCACTTACATGTATGTTTGGTTCCTTTTCAGTGATGAACCAGTGGCAGATATTGAAGGCCATACAGTGCGAGTGGCCCGAGTAATGTGGCATCCATCGGGACGTTTCCTGGGCACCACCTGGTAACCCCCCACTTTCTGTTCTATTCATACAGGCCTATGGTGTTTTATTAACATGTTTAGTTACCTGCTGGGTAAATTTTTCAAGCGAGTTCTCTTCAGATAGGACTTTCTTGGGCTGCAGTGAATCAGGAGAATGTGTATGATATAGGGAGAGCTAAGTGTATTTGCTTTTAAATTGCCACAAGTGAGTTAGGTGTAATTTTTTCCCCTGCACATAGTATTAAATCTCTGCCAACAAATCAGTTTCCCTTTCTGGTTCTGTAAATTCAGTGAGACTAGGATCTGTTAAAGAACTTTTCCTTTGAGGTAAAATTAACACAGTGGAATGGATCTTTTGAAGTTTACAATTTGATCTTCTCACATGGCATTGTACCTGTGTGACCCACATCCCTGACAATATACAGAATTTCTATCACCCAGAAAAGTTCAGTCATGCCCCTTCTTAGTCTGTTCCCCTTTCCAAAGAAACCACTGATCTGATCTCTGTCATTATAAATTCCATCCATTCATATTCTGTGAACTCATTTATGTCTGGTTCTTTTCACTTAGTGGAACACTTTTAAGGCTCATTCCTGTTGTTGCATGTATCAGTAGTTCCTGTTTGTTGCTAAGGAATAGTTTATTGTGTGTGCTGCAGCTTAGCCATTCTCATCTTGATGGACACTTGTGCTTGTTTCCACTTTTTGGTGAGTCAGACTAAAGCTGTTAAAAATATTCTTGTGCGAGGCGTTTCATGGACATATGCTTTTCTTTCCTTTCTCTTGTGTAAACATCTCGGAGTACAATTGCTGGATCATAGGGTAGATGCATACTTAACTTTTTTTTTTTTTGGTACCAGGGATCGAACTTGGGTCCTTGCGCTTGCGTAGCAGGCGGTGAAACCACTGAGCTAAATTCCCGGCCCTGCGTACTTAACTGTTTTAAACTTGCAAGCAGTTTTTCAAAGCGGTTGTACAGTATTATATTCCCAAAGTTTTGGATGCTTCACTTCTTCCCAACATTAGATGTCATCACTCTTTAACATTTTACCCAGTGTAAAATCAAGTGTGTGGTGATACCTTCTGGGTATTTTTGTTTTGATTTGGTTTTTGGGTTTTGTTTTTGGTTTTTGTTGTTTTGCAGTACTGGGGATTGAACCCAGTATTTTCACACTTTCATTTTTTATTTTTGAGACAGGATCTTGCTAAGTTGCCCAGGCTGGGCTCAAACTTGCAGTCCTCCTGCCTCAGACTCCCACAGTTTTGTGATTACAGGTGTGTATTAACACACCCAGATTTGTTACTAATTCATACTGCCCTGGTAACTATTCGTATTGAGTACTTTGTCACTTGATTACTGATCATTTGCATATCCTTTTTTTTTGTCTTTATTTCCATGTGCATAGCCAGTTCCACCAGCATGTACTAAGGAGGCTTTTCTTTCTCTATTGAATTACATTGGTGTCCTTGTTGAAAACATTTGACTGTGTATGTGTCCAGGTCTGTTTCTGTACTCTCTGTTCCCTTCCATTGATCTCTTTGTCTCTTTGATTTCTGTATGCACAACATCCAGTTTCTATAGATTCAGTGAAGGAAGGGACATAACAGTGGAATGAAGGAAGAACAAAAGACAATAGAATCCTGGCAGGATGAATCTTAGGAATTCTGTTCTTAAATTAATCCACTGGAATGGATTAATAGGAAGTCCATGGTTTCCTGGTTAGTACCTAAGACAGATAGGCTTAGTTCTTATTAATATGGCCACATGGTTTCACAAGTATAAGTTAAGCTACAGTTATTTATAGTACCTTGGAGAAATTGACTCATTTTGCTGGTTGACTATAATACAGTTTTGTTTTGTTTTGTTTTGTTTAAAGCTATGATCGTTCGTGGCGCTTATGGGATTTGGAGGCTCAAGAGGAGATCCTGCACCAGGAAGGCCATAGCATGGGTGTATATGACATTGCCTTCCATCAAGATGGCTCTTTGGCTGGCACTGGGTAAGGCTCCTTCAACAAAACCAAGGGCAGCTCAGTAGTCTCACCTCCTACATATGCTTGCTTCCACAGAAAACTGGATACAGTGTTTATGTATTATTCCATCAGGGGACTGGATGCTTTTGGTCGAGTTTGGGACCTGCGCACAGGACGTTGCATCATGTTCCTAGAAGGCCACCTCAAGGAAATCTATGGAATAAGTTTCTCCCCCAATGGGTAAAATGAGCTTGCTAATGGAGGGGTTGAGAGAGTTCTTTAGACAATACTGTTTGTTTCTAACTTTGATAATGCACCTGATCCACAGCTACCACATTGCAACTGGAAGTGGTGACAACACCTGCAAAGTCTGGGACCTTCGACAGCGGCGCTGCATCTATACCATCCCTGCCCATCAGAACTTAGTGACTGGGGTCAAGTTTGAGCGTAAGCTTACCTCCTGTTTTAGGCCTAAACACCAGACAAGGATTGTGCTTTCTTGGAACACAGGCCAGGCTTTAGCTTAGCCAAGAAGTGGAAGAGGATATAATTTGATCTCTGTTAAAGGAGCAAATTATTATTCTATTCCTTCATGCCATATCCCTAAACTGAGCTATGGTAAAGAATGCTTCTTGTTGCCAGGAAGTAACAGACTTCCATGAATGCTTTACTTCATTCTTTCCTCCGTGGACATTCTTAGCACTGGATTGTTAATATTACTTTACAGTGTTTATCTACCTGAGAAAGAGCCTAAAGTTCTTAATAATGTTACTTTTCAGTCTGCCTGTGGTTGTCCCCTTTTCCTGGAAACCTAGTAGGAATATAGAATCAGTATGTTGGGTCTTTCTGAATGTAGAAATAACCTTCTTTTTCAAAATAGTATGTTTAGGCAGATTATTATGCTTCTGTTTTCTTAAGCTCTTTTAAATACTTGAATCCTTCTAACGTCTCCCTTTTTTCTCTTCCATAGCTATCCATGGGAACTTCTTGCTCACAGGCGCCTATGATAACACAGCCAAGATCTGGACCCACCCAGGCTGGTCCCCACTGAAGACTCTGGCAGGCCATGAAGGCAAAGTGATGGGCCTGGACATTTCTTCTGATGGGCAGCTCATAGCCACTTGCTCATATGATAGGACCTTCAAGCTCTGGGTGGCTGAGTAGGCAAGGCCTTTGGAGAAGGACTCACATCAAGCTGCCCCTTAGAAGCCATTTCCCTCAAAAGAAAAGAATTGATGTATTTTATTTTGTTCTGTCATGTGTCCTGCCAATTACCAAGTATAGATGCTCAATAGAATTGGTTTTCATGTCAGCTCCCAGGCAGGCAGCCCAGTCCCTACATGGTGGCAAATCCATTTCATGGTTGAAAATTTAATTCTCATCCTCAGGCCTTGCCACGAACTAGGTAGACATTGTTTTTTTATTAATCTTTGTTTAAATGTTCTACCATCTTCCTCATAGCACTCAAAATTGTGACTATTTTGCATTTCTAGTTCTCAAAAACATGCCTTTTCATAACATGGTTGCATGTTTCATGACTCCATGTGATCCATCCAGCAAGAAGGTGGCTGGACTGTATTCCAGAAGCCCTGGTATAACAAGGAGCATCTCACCACTCTGGTTGAACAATGCCTGACCTACAGCAAGCCTCTTTCCCCTCCTTGCAAATGAGAGGTGAAGCAGTAGACTGCAGCTAAGCTGGTGATCATGCAGGAAAGAAGATTGGATACTTCCTGTGGAATTCACTTGGAATGCTAACTGCATCAGGAAACTCAGAACCAAACATTGCCTTGGTCAGAAAATGCCTTCCTATTTTGCTTTAAGTTTGTCATCCTTCCTGTTACCCTAAAACACGGCCATTGTGTCAAGATTCAAAGAAATTTTTGGAATTGTACAGCTCTATTGTACAGCTTCTTTTCTGTTGGTTAAAGGATGGACTTCATGTATTAAAGTCTATTTCATGTCCAAGTACCTGGAAAAAATCCCTAGTGGGCATTCCTAAACATGAACCTTTTTTTCCTACATATTTGCTAAGAGTGAAATCTTACCATAAAAAAACTGTTCCTTAAAAAATTATTCTCTAGGGCCGGGAATTTAGCTCAGTGGTTCTGCCACCTGCCCCACAAGCATAAGGACCCGACCTTGATCCCCCATACCAAAAAAAAATTATTTTCCAGGGGCCTGGGGATATAGCTCAGTAGTAGGGTATATGAAGCCCTAGATTTCAATGCCCAGCACCCAAAAAATTCTGAAGTTAATAATTTCCTGAATTCTAGCCATTAATCCAAGGAGGTCTTTTTCTTAAAATCTAGAATGACTTCAGATGTGGATTACTCCAGTTTCTGTCTCCTGGATAAGTACTCTTGTTCTTATCCTTTAAAATAGAGTGTAAGAGCTGTTGGACTCATAGGCCAGGCTATAGCTGTATGTGGACTCCGTAATTATTTATCAGTTGTGTAGTGATTACCTCTACCTCTTTCCACCCCACATACACATCCTCTGGACTCTGAAATGATAGTAAATTTACACACAAGTAGAGGAATTTGGAAGAAGAAAGTACATATAGAGAAGAATTAAGGGCTTTATAATAGCTTCCCCTTGAATATTCAAAACCCTTTTCATTTGCTGTTCCAAAGGGATTGAGGATAGTCTAGCCTCTATTCTGAAATTATGAATGTGTGATTGTAGCTAAACATACTGTTTTTAATCTGATTTCAATTATAACCAAATAGTTGCATTTCCTGTATAGTTGTTAAGCCTTGGAATTCTGACGTCTACTCCCCTGTTGGATACTTTGAGTTCTATTTCTAATATGGTTTGCCATAAAAAGAAACTTTTTTTTCATTACCATTTTTGTAGTTATCTGTAAAATAATGATGGACATTGGTGTATTAGCATGTAACAGATACAGTATGCTAACAAAGATTTTCCATTTCTCAGGTTTAAATTTTACTGTTAGTTCCCTTAGACCTGTCTTGTTTTTTGGTGGTTCCCAAAGGGTAACGTGGGCTAAAACATCTCGTCTAACCCTTTGGCAGAATGTTTGGTGGAATAACCATTTCTTCAAACATCATTGTAAAAGATGGTTTGCTGAGAAACCCAAAGCCAGATGTAGCATTTCATGATGACTGTCACAAAGAAATTATGACATCATAGCCACCGCTTAACAGAATCCTTCCTTCCTGCATAATGTACCAGGCGTATTTGACATATTGTTTGACCCTCACAATCATGAATTTATTCCCTTTTTATAAGGAAAACTGATGCTTAAAGAAGTAGCTTGTTCAAGATTACCTACTTAGTAAATGGTGAAACTGAATTTGAGCCCTCGTCTGTTTAACCTTTTTTGATCTTACAAAGAGACTACAGGGCTGAGTACATTGGCCACCCTGGCAACAAGACCATTACAGCCAGTATGGCCCACTTGCTGTACAAAGTTTTGTAACACTGCCCTATCAGTAAGTCACTTACTGTCTGACATTATGCCAAATGGAGTTAATTTCACTGTTGCTGCCTTGTGAACTTAGGAGCAGCCTATTGTGTTGTTCAACAAGATGACTATTTGCATTTTGCATTTAACTGACACTTAATTGATCATAGCAGCAGGTCTCAAATGTCCCTAACCTCTGCACTAAACACACAAATACCCTCTTTGTTGAATATGAAAGGTGTTCCCACACATTTCCAAATGCCCTGCCAGAGTGGGAGTGACCCAACATTAGAACTACTGGATGTGAAAACAGAAGATGCTGTGATATTTTAAGTATATCTTCCCTATCTGAAGTAACTCAGACCTATATCTTCTTATTTGGTTGGTATGTCAACCACTCCAAGAATAAAAGGTCTACTTTGAAAGAACTCTACCACTTTTTAGCAAAGTGGCCTTGAAGGTGGCCGAGCTTACAGAGCCTGAGTTTCATCAACAAAGAGGCAGTGAAGCTTGCTTAGACCAGCAGGCCATACTGCAGAGGCAGATATCCCTTCCTGGGCATCCCCTGGCTCCGCTGCTCCCTGTGCTGAGCAACTGGAGCCTGTCCCTCTTAGCTCAGACAGTGATAGCATTGCCTAACTTACCTGCCACAAAGTTACAGAGCAAAGTCGCGTAAAGAAATGAAGTCAGTGGGGGGAGGTGGAGTCCCAGTGTCCTTGTAATTATCTTTGATGGTGAAAATGGAGAGATAGACGCTGTCCCTGGCGGGATACATAGGCAGCTTTCCAATTTCGTAATGGAGAGTTTTTCTTCACATTAGAACTTAAAACCATTTTGTTTGGCTAAATGCAAGAAATACATCTCTTGCTATTAAGACCCCTAAGAGGAATTTATAGAAGGTAGTCTCATTAAACTTGATTTAAAAAGTAAAACTGACTTGAGCTATACCCAATGGTAATTTATTACACAATTTTTAAAAGTTCAAAATTTTTTTTCATAATTGTGATGGTGTTTTAGCCATGTGAGAACTGTTTGAGAGCCCTGAGCCACTAGGCCTGGTTAAAACTAGCGAAGCAGAAATTGATATTAGACACTGAGGATGGCAGTCTGCCAAGCAGCAGCCTAATCATTCACATTTTACCTCCTTGGCTTCCTGGATTCTGTCATGTAAAGTGAAAACCAGGGCCCCCCTAGCTACTGTGGCCTGGGACGGGAGCTAAGGTTTTGCCTCTGTCAGGAGTTTCCTCTTATCTCGAGGCCAGAATTACAGCACTTGCAGGAGTGGAATCTGAGCTCTGCTCTGTACATCTAGTCAGGGCCTCTGTCCCTACCAGCAGGAATAAAGACCTATTCCTCCACATTCCAGATCTCTTAATTCACTAACCCTGGCTTGTTTCATTCTTGGATTCTTAGCTCCTAACACTACATGAGCTACATGCTGACAAAAGGTTGTCTTATATAAGAAGCTGCTGAATGAATGTCCCCTCTCTGCTGCTAGGGACCATCTGCCATCCCTGAATATCTTACCTTTCCCTTCTGCACCTGCCCAATTTTTGTGGAATGAATGAATGCAGACTGGGCCTAGTAGCAAATAGCTGAAAGTAGAGACATTTCCCCACAGGATTGAAACTCACTTTTCCAAATTTTTAGCAATACATAATAAAAAGAGCAACTCAACAAAACATGAATTGAGTCCAAAGCAGCTCCATTGAGAAATGTAACTTGCTGTTTGGGTTAGGCAGGTTCCTGGATACCATTGTCCAGCCCTTTGGCACAACTTGCTGTGTGGCTCTGTAGCCATAGAACCACTTCTTTGTCCTCCATGACCCCATGGTTCACACCAGGAGGTCTCAGTGTCTCCCAGCCCTTCAGCTTTTGGTTTTCTTTTTTCCTTTTTCCCCTCATTGTAGTGGGGCCTTCTCTGTACCCAGAAGCAAACACATGGCCTAACACCGAACCCTGGATTGTGAAACGAACAATACTACAAACGAGGACAACACCAAATGAGGGTATGCATCCCCATCCCGAGAAGCTTGGTTGCTTGTCCATGAACAGCACTCACCCCACACCCCAAAGGAACTGCTTGGTCCAAAAGATGGAGAAGATGAGCAACAGAGTGACACTGAGAATGACAGCCATCAAGTAGGCAAAGATCCGAAATTGAGGGTTGCGCAAACATTCCCTCGGAGAATAGTGGCTGGGGATGGGGATGGGCCTGGGTCCAGTGGCAGGGGCCGTATCTTGGAGGGACCCAGTCTGGCTCCCAGGCTCAGGGCCAAAGTCCAGTGTGTAGACTCGAGGCTGGCGCAGGAAGTAGCGGCTCTTGGGCTGGTCCTTGAGACAGAGCTGACGCCCTTCCAGGATGATGTGGTGGGGTTCCAGGTGGAGCAGGGTCAGCATGGCAGTATCTGTGGGCAAGTCAGTGACCAGCTGCCCTGAGGCCAGGATGGTGGGCTGGCGACAGAGTGGGCAAAGCAAGCGGCGCCGGGCAGGAGTCACCAGGCTGAGGTGGGCCAGGCATTCCACACAGAAAGAGTGGCAGCAGTCCAGCACTTTGGGGGTGTGGAACGTGTTGTTGAAGGGGTTCCAGCAGACGGGGCACTCAGCCTCAAGCGCACGGCCCTGTGGCTCGGCCATCCTAGAGCACACACCAGGAGGCGTCCCAGGGATTGTGCTGGAAGAGAGGAAGGAGCACAGTCACACCCATGAAGCTCTGTCCTTGTGCTTGGTCTGAGCTGAATTCTGTGGAGGTTTAAAAGTATCACCCACACTTTTCAGATGAAGAAGCTTGGGTTCAAAGCACTTTGTCCCACATTACCCAGTTCCTAAGCCTTAAAGTTCAATCTGAGTTGCAGAGCTGTCCCTGTATCAGTGGAAGACCTAAGGCAATCCCACCAACAGTCCTGAGCGAGCTGGCATCGATGGGGAAAGAACCAGCCTGTGGCAATGCACAAAAATGCCCCCAGTGCTCAGTGTGCTTGCCCATGGCTGCCCTGAGTCTAGGGAGAAGGAGGCAGAGACACGTTCAGTGGTTTTCGCTAGAGGACAAATACTTCTTTCCCTGCTACAGCATCTCAAATCCCTGACCAGGACATGAGCTTTGTGAATTCCCTGGTCTGTCCCTCTGTGGACAAATGCCAGGCCTTTTTTCTCTCCTCTCCATGGGCTATAGGTCCTCCTGGCCCATCTTCAGTCTGACCTAATAAGGGGGCCCCTGCTAAGGCCTTTTCTCATTGATCTGGAAGCCTTGGAGAGCCTCCCTGCCCAAGTCCCCAGATTGGCCCTTCCGGAGCCTCTTCCCAGTAGTACTCAGCCTCCCCTGACTCCTTCACTGTACCATTTTATCCCAGGAGACCTTCAGGGCACCCACCTGGGCTTCCAGTGGCTCTAGGATGGTCGGGCAGACTATTCTGGAGGGCTGAGGCTCTGTGCTCTCCCTCTCCTGAATCTGCAAAGCTTCAGGAAATTGCCTTCTCGCCACCAACCCAGGGGCCGTCTCCATGGCAGCACACTCACAGCACCTGGAGCTGCCAGGTGGCCCAGGCTGCAGAGCCTCTTGAGCACACCTGCCTGGAGCCGAGGCCAGAGCCGCCTGGGGGGTGGCTGGGAGGTGGGGGACTTGTCGGGGTTTTACCCCAGAGCTTTGGGCGTGGCAACCAATCGAATTCTGAAGCCTAGTAGTACTCCAAGACTGTGAGTAGTTCTTTCCAGACCTGAAATCCCCAACCCGGAAAGGTAGGGGTGGCAATTTCCTCTCTCCAGACCGTGGGGAGGCTGTCTTTCTGGGCTTCCTCTCTCTTGGGACCTCATTTCTTTTCTAAAGTGATTGGAACCTCTTCCTCACACAAAGGAGCCCTGGGTCCTGCACTTCTATTACTGAGAAATTCATCTACTCCACAGCCTAGATCAGATCCAGCAAGTCCTCCTCATCTCTTTCTGAGCTTTTCTGTACCTAAGTAGCTGGAACCAGCATGGGTGAACTTTGCTACCTTCTGCTTTGTTCTTGGAACACAGACAGTCAGCAGCTGAGATCTTTCAGTCCCAGAACGGGCTGTCCTGCCAACCTTGGGGCCTTACAGTTGGGAGGGAGAGGTATGCCAGCCTTGCTTCCCCATTTCAACCAGAAACACTTGGCTTTTATCTGTTTCATTTGTCATTTATGTTACTTGAAGAGTTGACCTGCTGGGGGGGAAGTACTTAACAAACCACTTCTCTGTCCTAATCACTCAGTTTGCAGATGGAGACAAAAGTTACCCAGCTAGTTTTGGTGACACTGGGACATTGTCTTCAGATTCCCAGGCTACCACCATAAAGAAACCCTGTATCCATTCAGTCTACCTGGTGGATGTGCGTTATCAGTAGGAAGTGTTTATTTTTATCAGGTGAGTCTTTATGGGCGTTAAGACCCTTGTGGTAGGAATATGGGAACTATGCAAGGGGAGACTTGGGGGACGGAGTCTCCCTTAGACATCGCCTATCCTGACTGACTTGATGCCTAAAGTAAAACACTCTCACCCTTGACTTCCTGATTTTCTTCTAGAATGCTGTCAACTGCTCCAAGCAGGGCAGAAGAAAATGAAGATAAGCAGGGAGAGATGCCACAAGCCTAGCCAAAGCTGCAATCATTTACCAGCGACCCACACCAATGTCTTATTCAGTGGACCATGCATCTGTTCAGCAGTCATTGAGTGCTCACTACACACCAGGCACTGTGCTAGGGATTGGATAAATAAAGGAAAACAAAACTGACATCATCTTTAACCTCGTGGTATTCAGAGGCTATTGAGGCACAGAGACATTTAGTGAGTAATGGGCAATAAGGAAATGCATAATTTTAATGAATGCTATAAGGGACAAAAGAGAAAGTGGGAAGTGGGAGTAGCATGACTCCCTCTCAGAGAAGAAAGAGAAGTAGAGGGGAGAGGAATGGAGTAGGGGAGGAAAGAGAAAAGAAAAACAAGGAGCTGGTTGTGGTGGCCTATGCCTGTAATCCCAGTACTCTGGGAAGCTGAAGCAGGAGGACTGCAAGTTTGAGCCCAGCCTGAGCAACTAAGTGACTTAGCAAGAACCTGTCTCAAAAGTAAAAATTAAAAAAGACTGGAGATGTAGCTCAATACAAAGGGCCTAAGAATTAAAATCCCAAAACTTCCCCCTCCCAAAAAAGGAGGAAAGAGACAGACAAAAGAAAATGGGCTTGAAATGGAAAATTTCTCCAAAGAGATGATATGAAAGCTGAGGCTGAAGGATAGAAAGAATCCAGCCATGCAGCATGGAGAAAGACCTTAACAGGCCAAGGGAACAGCTGTGTCAAAGCCTGCTTATTAGAACTGTGATTACAGTTGAACTGTTTAACCTCTCTGTGCCTCCGTTCCCCCTTGAGAAAAGAAAGATAAAAGTAGTGAAGCTTTTAGATAAAGCCCACCACCAATAAAAACTAAGTACAGTATAAGGAAGTTGTTGTTTTCACTTCAAGTTGGATTTAAGAAAGAGAAAAGGTCATAGTTGACTTCAAAGCCATGATGTGAAAGGAAGCCAGGGTGTCAGGTTGGGGGCTGGAGGAAAGCCAGGATGGCCATGGACCGGAAGAGATCAGAAAGGCAGGAGGTGACCTGTAAGCTCCGGAACTCATCTGGATTTGATTCTAGGAGAGGGAGAGTTTTTCATTTTTAAAATGCCACTCTAAGGGCCGCGCCTGCCTGGCAAGCACAAAGTCCTGAGTTCGATCCCCGTATCAAAAAAAAAAAAAAAGAAAAAGAAAAAGAAAATGCCATTCTAGCAACTGAGAAGAGACAAGAGAGGAAACAGAAGATAAGTGTGTTCCAGGCATGTAATAATGATGTGTGATGTAGGCCAGGAGAGAATGGAGAAGATAAAATAGATGGATGGATCTTTGGAGACAGAATCAAAACCTCTTCCCAATATGCAGTGGCTTCTTGGGAACCAGGCTATACACTCTGGAACCAAGTTAGCAAGGCTCATGATCCCAGAGTCACTGCATATTAGAACTGTGATTTCAGTTGAACTGCATAACCTCTCTGTGCCTCTATTCTCTCTTGAGAAAAGAAAGATAAAAGAACTGAAACTTTTAGATAGAGCCCAGCACCCAGTAATAACTAAGTACAGTATAAGGAAGTTGTTGTTATCACTTCAAGTTGGATTTAAGAAAGAGAAAGGGTCATAGTTGACTTCAAAGCCATGAGAAAGCCAGGCATGGTGGAGCATGCCTATAATCCCAGTACTTGGGAGGCTGAGGCAGGAGAATCCCCGCAAATTTTAGGCCAGCCTGGACTGCATAGTCAGTTCAAAGCCAGCCTGAACCACAAAGGGAGACCCTGTCTAAAACAAAACAAAACAAAAAAAAACCCATGAGAAAGTTTTCTGCATCAGGCTTTGAGGCACCTCTAAATTCCAGCATCTGTCAGAAAAAGACCTTCAACACTTATCCACAGTCTTAAAATGTACATAACCTTGATTGAGCACTTCCTCCCCTAGAAACTGATCCCATGGAAATAATCAAGGAAGGGCCTGTGCAAAGATTTGATTACAGAGATGCCCACAGAGGTGCTACAGTAATGCTGAAGTATAGCCAATTCCCTCATTATCCAATAATAGAACACTAAGTGAATTCTGCTCTAGCCACACAGAAAGACTTTCTACAGCCTTTAAAATGACATAAAATATTTATTAATATAGATGTATGTCATTAAGAAAAAGAACTAGTAATAAAATCATATTACAACATAATCCTATTTTCAAAAATATGTGTGCAATGGAAAAAAAAAATCTGAAAAGATAATCAAATGTCAACCATAGTTATCTCCAGAAGCAAGACTACATAGGTTTCCTGGGTTTTGTTTTTTTTAATTCTCTTACCCAGAAATTCTGACTCTAGTAAGCTTGTCTTACTTAAAGATCTTCCCCTTTCCTTCAAATCAGACCGACATTCTCTGAAGATCTGTGGCCAAAGCTGTAACAGGCTGTTCAAGAGGAGGGACAGTGACTATACCCTGGCCCTCACTGGGGGGCTCTGCTCAGCCAGGCACCCTCTGTAGCTCCAGAATCAGCTGGTCAGAGTTAAGTCTCTCCAGGAGACACTTTCCATGTGTCGGTCCCTCCACCCAGCCAGGCCAGCTCAGCTAAGCAACAGCAAGTCCTAACACCGCCCCATGGTCATCACCAATATGAACTGTTTGCAACAGCACCTCATCCTTTTCAACATGAGCATGACAGAGATGGCAAACTGGCCTCTGCATAGCCCTTCACAGCTTACAAAGGGTCCGGGTCCTTACTAGGATTTAAGTATAGCAACACATCTGGATAGTTGTTTGCCTGTTTCTATTTCCATAAGGCCATCTGATTCTCTAAAACTACCCAGTGAAGGAGGCAGAATGGGGAGTAAAAACTGTGCAGGCTTTGAAACCAGACTTTTTCGCTCACCTTGAACAAATGGCTTAACTTCTCTGAACCTTGTTTTCCTCTGTGAAAGAGAGCAACCCTCACAGGGTAGTTGTGAGAAAGGAAGAGTCTGTAATCTGCCCAGCAGAACACAGCAGGTGGTTAGTACTTTATGACTGTTTTTGTAGCCATTTGAAACATGGGGAAACCAAGGCTCAAGATGGTGAAGTGCCCTTGAAAGATAGGCCCAGAGAAGCCTACCTCAGAGGCCAGAGGTCATCCACTCCCTTTGCCCTGCGGCCTCTCGGACCTGGAGCCCCGTGAGCACCCCTCCATGCCCCTCTCACCCTCCTTACCTGCCACCTCCTCTTCCTCCTTTCCAAGGGAGCTCAGCCCTGGTGCTTTGGGCTCTGATTGCTGGGCCTGTCGGGGCTGCTAGAGGTGGAGCTCATCTGCGCAGTGTCAGGACCTCCTGCCATACTCTCTGCAGCAGGTATTCCTCTTCTCTGGTGACTTTGGACTGTTGGTGCAGCGGACACCCGGAAACTGTGGTCTCTTCGTCTTTCTCCTGTGAGTCACTCTTGCTCTTTCACTGGGGGGGTGAAGTCCACTCACTGCCTCAGGCCTGTGTGGGGCTGGGACTGCCTATGCCCCTCTGTGGTGACTGCCTGGTCCCACACACAGCCTGGCCTTGACAGGAAAGCAGGGAACCTCTGAAGCCACCTCAGACCCTTCCTCCTCCTAGCCTGCAATGAAAACACAAAGAGCTCTTTTAAAATACAAATAACCGGGGCCAGGGATTTACTCAGTGGTTTTGCTGTCTGCTGTGCAAGCGCAAGGACCTGAGTTCGATCCCCAGTACCAGAAAACAAACAAACAAACAAACAAACAAAAAAACCCCAAATAACCCAGCAGAAAAGTAGTGAGGGGAGAGGCAGGTAAGCCCAGCAGGAAGAGCTTGGATTCTCCAGCAAGTCAGAGTCCCTGCTCAGAATCCAAACTTCTTTTACTAGGGAGGAGACAGGCATATTAGTTAACTTTTCCAAGCCTCAGTTTCCTCACCTGAAAATGAGGGTAATAATCCATCTAGTTCATCTACAGATGAAATAATAGATTGTAACATAGTGAATGACGCACAGAAACACACAGAAAATGTGAATTAGACCTGTGGAACTATTACTGTTCTTACAGTACTATCAGGAAAATTGCACAAAGAAGGAATGTAAATAGAATCTACACAAGGGCAAATGTGTGTGCATGCACTCGTGCAGTACGTGTGTGTGCAGCAAGTTTGAAGAGCAGGCAGGGTGTGGCAGTCGCTCTGCAATCTGTGTCATGACCTCACTATCTTCCAGAAGGTACACATGGCTCATCTCGTGTCCCTCTCACATTCTCTTTGTACTGAAAACCTTTTTATTTCTTCAGTGATCTTTCCAATGAAGTTTGGAGGAGAATAAACAGAAATAAATAGTAAATGTAGGGCCGGGGAATTTAGCTCAGTGGTGCCGCTCCTGCCTCGAAAGCATAAGGTCTTGAGTTCAATCCCCAGTACAAAACAAAACAAAAAAAAAGTAAATGTACCCAAATGGGAAATAATCAGATGCCCTAGTTTCCTCATCTAAGGTTTTTTAGAATCTAATTTTATTTTGAATAGGTGATGCATTCACATGGTTCAACATATGAAAGGTTTGATTGTGCAAAGGCAATTGTCTTCTTGTCCCAGCCTCCTAATTTTCCTGGAAATTAAGGTATTATGCTGTTTCTTGTGTACCTTTCCAAAAATGTCTAATGCATACACAAAATTTTCATGGCGAAATGACTATGTATTCATTTTTCTCACGTTACTCAAATATACGAATTGTATGGACTACCTTTCTTTTTTCACTTAACAACAATATATCTGTCTGAGATACCATTCTGTACTAAAACATATAGAGTTTTCTCTGGCTTTTTAATGTTTGTATCATATTTCATTGAATGACTGTATGATAAATTACTTACCCAATCACCTATTGACCTAATCCTTTAATTTTAAATATATAAATATTGGATAACAGAATAAATGCAGAAATGATTTTAACTTAGCCTAGAATTGTACACATATGAAGTAAAATTGTAGAAACCAAGGATGGTGGTAAAAGCTTGTAATCTCAGCACTTGGGAGGCTGAGACAGGAGGATTGCTGTGAGTTTGAGGCCAGCCTGGACTACATAACCAGGCCTTGTCTCAAAAGCCAAAAGCAGAAAAGAAAAGGGAAGGAGAGAGGAAGGGAGGGAGGGAGGGAAAAAGGGAGGAAGACAGGGAGGAAGGGAGAGAGAGAGGGAGGGGAGAAGAGAGAAGATTGTGGATTTGGGGACGTTTTAGAGCTCTAAAAAAGACTTCTCAGCAATTCTCTCAGCTGATGACAGGGATATTGTCAGTGGGCCGGAGGTTCCTCTTAGCTCTGAATTTCCTGCTTCCTGTCGTCACTGCTGGTTAACTAGGGCTAGTGGGGATGCAAGATACAAGGGCCTGGGATTTAGCTCAGTGGTTCCGCCACCTGCCTCATTAGTGCAAGGTCCTGAGTTTGATCCCCGGTACCAAAACAAAAAACAAATTTCAAAACACTGATTTACTTACAAGGATCCGGTTTGTATTTGAGAGTTTGGAAGTCATGCTTTCTGGCTTGGCAAGACTATTGCAAGCAATGACGAAGTTGACTGACTTAGTAATTTAATTTCCAGAAGTATCCAAAAGATATATTTTGTTTGAGTGAAGATGTTCATTGCAGTTTTAACTACAACTCAATGATTGAAAACAATTCAGATCCCACCGGTTATTCCTAAGTAGAAAACTACATGATCATTTAAAATGACATTGCAGAAGAATTTTTACTGATTCATAAAAATGGCCACAGTGTATTATATAAGTGGGGGGCAGTTTCCATAAATGTATGAACCAGGCTTCATAAACCAGGGCCTATGTATGACAGCTGATGACCAGGAGGTTGAGTGTTACTTATAGTGGCTGTCTCTGGGCAATGGGCATTATGTTCTTCCTTGCTTGTCTGTATTTTCTAAATTTTCAAATTAATTTATTTTCCCTCTGTAGAAAGAAAATTCACTTAGACAGCAAGGTAAGTCTAAGTTCCTGCAGCCAGGGAATCCAGAACTTAAATAGGTAAACGGATGAGGTGGGTAAGGAATCAGCCAAGGAATTGTAAACAGTAAAATAAACACCAAACAAGTCATGGCCTTTTTCTGGGTCACTGATTGTCTAGTGAGTAAATGGATCATCATAATGTCTGTGGGTGGTCAACGCCAAGGAGTCCTTTGCAAACAGTGGAAAATTTTCTGGAGAGATACCCTGGAGAGATAGTGAAGCATCTCAGGTATTTGAGAGTTAAACTAACTTAGTTCATGCTTGGAGGGGCTGAGGTCAGCCAGCTGGAAAAGTACCTCACCTAAGCAGTATCTTGGGACTGGGTGAGCAGAGTCATGAGATTCCTTGGAGCCCAGCCAACATGGGGATCAGAAGGGTGGGATTAACCAACTGGGAAGAAGCTCTTGCTTTCTCCTTCTTCATTCCCAGAAAGGGAGAATGGCTCTAAAAAAAAAAAATCAGTGACTGAGGCAGGTTCTGATTAGGTGACAGTCAGTATTTAGTAAGCCCCAGCCAAGGGAAGGGGGCCACTGTCCCTGAGGGCCACTACACTGTCATCCCTTATTAACTTCAGCCTTTGCAGAGTTTTGCCTGAGGCCTGTCCAGAGTTTTAGGACAGTCCTAGGAGTGTAGCATCACCTGGAGGTTGACAGAAATGCAGACTCTCAAAAAAAATATGCATAATTTCAGAACTATTAAGGCAGAATTTGTACTTTCACAAGATCCTTGGCAGATCTAGACACAGAGCAAAATGTGAGGAGCACTGATTTAGGAGAAATCCCTTCCATCTGTGCTACTTGACTCAAACTGATTATATTCACCTATAGGTTCATAAGGGCTTTCCAAGGATGTAATACCTTAGAGAGGGCTGGGTGAGTCTCAAGCTAGGAATGCCCATAGCTTTACCATCACCAGAATTTGCATTGCAAGTCAGAATCCCTTATGTAAAACACTTGGAGTCAAATGTATTTCAGAGCTTTTCCTATTTTAAGAAGGTAATATGCATTTGCCAGGTGTTAGGTAATTCTCAGTGGGATCTGGGACAATATTCTGCAGTCTATTATGAATATCAACACCAAATAAATAAATAAATAAATAGACATCTGAGATTTAATCAGACCAAATTTAATGGAAAAAACTTGATTTTCAGGGTTTGGGGATTTCAGAAATGAGGATAAAACTTATGAGCTGTTTTATTTTCTTTTGGGTTTGTTGTTGTTTTTACTTTTAGACTGTGTCAACTGAACAAATTTAGAAACACCAGTGTAGTTCAACTTCCCAGCGCTTGTTAATCTCAGATTTTGCGGGAACTATAAGATCTAGATATTCTTAGGGGCTGGGGATTTAGCTCAGTGGTTCCGATGCCTGCCTCACAAGCACAAGGACATGAGTTCGATCCCCGATACCAAAAAAAAAAAAAAAATGATCTAGATATTCTTTCATATGTAAAGTAGCTCACATACTTCATCTTTCTAAGCAGGTCACATTTGCCGTGACACAGCTCAACTCAAGCGGATCTGTGAGAAACAGCTGGATTTCAGCAAAAGTAAGCCAATTGTCCCAGCTAACATCGATGCTAAATGTCAGAACTGATACTGAAACCCAGGGCCTCTTATTTGTGGTCCAGTGCTACCACCTGGCCCCCTCTCCCCCACTTCCTTGAGAACAGTGGGTCTGAGCTCTTGGATGTGACTTTGTGAGACCTAAACAACTCCATTTTAAAATTTGACTCCATCTTAGAATAAGGCAGTAAAGTGGCCTTGACATAAATTCCACTTCGCTGGAGTCAACTATTCCCCTAGTCTCCTTTGTGCCCATAAAGTAATGATAAAATGTCCTTACTCTGGGACAACAGATAAAAAAGGACACAGCTCCTAACTCAATCCTCTGTTTGCCCAGAAAACAGACGCTCCCGGGCCCATTATCTATGTGCTGACCATGAACATTCTGTCAATGAGCTGATTGTTCCTTTTTTATAAAATCTACATGTAGCCGCCCCTCAACCCCCCTCCCCGTACACCCCATACTTGCTAAATATCAACCAATCATGTAACTGCTAAATGGAAAATCCCCAAACCTTGCTGTAGCCACAATAAAAACCCTGCTGATTTAAAATTCGGGGCTCTCAATCCTGATCCGCTGAGCCGGTGATGGTTGTGAGTCCCTGCTCGAGCTTGAATAAACGACCCTCGTGTGTTTGCATCGGAATTGGCTCCTTGGTGGTCTTTGGGGACTTCGCGATCTGGGCACAACAACTTCTTTCCTCAGATCTCATGTCCTGTGTGCTGGGAACTAGCTCTGGCTGAAGGATAAGGGATAAAATGCTTGCTGCGCATGCCCGCTGGTGTGTTTAAAGGCAAGGGACTGAAACTGGACTGCTTTTCCTCCAGCTGGTCTGGGAATGAAGCATCTCATCTTTCAACCCCTTAGACTGTCAGCTGCACGAGGGTGGCAATAAATGGCCCTCAGGAAGTCGTTGGTGTGAGTCAGATGAGTCCTCAGACTTATTACTCTGAAGACTTTCTCCCGGTGAAGCCTCCCAGAAAGATGCTGGCAGAGTTGGCTGGAGGCTGTTCGTACAGGAAGGTCCAGGCAACTAACAGGAAGTGTCGAGGTTCTTCTCCAAATGTCAAGAGATGACTGGGCCAGGGTCTGTCTCTGCTTTTGTAATGTTCAGATGGCAACAGTGGCAAAAAGACCTGGAATATGGTTTGTTCCCTTCAAAATTCATGTTGAAATTTGATTGCCATCCTGAGAGTTGAGAAGCAGTAGGGCCTTTTAAAAGGATTTTAAAAGGTCATTCAGAAAGATTAATGCTTTTCTAGAAGGGCTGGTTTCATTTTTGCAATAATGGATTGTTATTAAGGAGGCCCAGACCCTCTTGCCTATCTCGTCTACACAGATGCTTTTGCTCTTCTCCTTTCTGTGATTAGTTGAAGCAAAATAAAGCCCTTACCAGAAGCCACTCAGATATCTGCACCACGTTCTTGAAACTTTCCAGCCTCCAGAACTGTCAGCTAAATAAACTTCTTTTCTCTATAAGTTTCCAAGTCTTGGCAATTCAGTTATAGCAACTGAAAATAGACTAAGACAGAAATGTGGTACTGCCAGGTGTGGTGTATGGCTATAATCCCAACACTTGAGAGGCTGAGGCAGGAGGATTGCTGTGAGTTTGAGGCCAGCCTGGGCTATATAGTGAATTCAAGGGCAGTCTGAACTACATAAGTGAGACCCTGTCTCCAAAAAAAAAAAAAAAAAAAAAAAAAAAAGTGATACCAAGAAGTGGAGTGTTGCTATTACAATACCTAAAAATGCAGAAGGCATTTGGAAATGAGTGATGGGTAAAAGCTAAACAGTTTTGAAATGAGTGCTGGGGAAAGTGTGCATTGCTATGAATGGAGCATTAAGAAAGATTCTAGTGAGGGCTCAGAAGACAAGAAGTGTTCTTGTCTAGGGAAAGTCTAGGACATTTTAGAGATTACCATGACCAGAACACTGATAGAAATGTGGACAGTAAAGGCCATTCTGGTGAGGTCTCCAATGGGAATGAGGAATATCTTACTGGGAACTGAAGTAAAGGCTATTCTTATTATAAGGTTGCAAAGAACTTGGCTCCATTATATAAACACCCTGGGCCTTATGAAGATGTAATTTAAGAGTGATGAACTAGGATTTCTGGAAGAAGAAATTTATTTTCTTTAGCAACAATGGCTCACTATGTTGCCCAGGCTGGTCTTGAATTCCTGGTCTCAAACAATCCTCCTGCCTCAGCCTCCCAAGTAGCTGGGACTATAGGCATGTTGCACTGTGGCAGACATAGAAGGAATTTCTAAGCAAAATGTAGAAGGAGCTGCATGGTTATTTTTAACCACTTACACTGAGATGAGAGAGCAGCAAGAGATGACAGTTTAAAGATAGAATCTATAAATAAAAGGGAAACTGTAAAAATTTGGAAAATTCACTACCTGGCCATATAAAGGAAAAAAGTGTGCAAAAGTACAGTCAAGCAACCCCTATTATTTTGTTTTGGTGTTTTGGTTATTATTTTTTTCTTTCTTTTGGTTTATGTTTCTTTATATTTATATTTATATTTTATATTTTTGGTCTTGTTTGTTTTTATTTTTATCTCTATTTTCCTGGTTATTGTTTTTTACTTTTTTCTACCAAGCATCTCTTTGCTAAGGAACTTAGTATGGATAAAGGGGGGGCCAGTGCTATGCATTAGGACAATGGAAAGAGGGCATTTCAGAGATTTTTGAGTCTGTGCCTCCAATCACAGGCCCAGAGGCCTAGGAGGGCACAATGGTTTCAGGGCATTGGCCTGGCTCATAGCCATGGATTATACTCCCAGGTCCACTTCAGGATGCTGCTCCTCAAATCTCGGGATGGCACTCTTTGGCCAGCCCAATCATAGCTTACATGGGCTTGGTTGTGATTTGTGTTATTGCTCTGGAGGACACAAGTGGCTAGCCTTGGCAGAGTCCACATGGTGATAATTCTTCAAATGTGCAATATTCAAGAGCTATGAGATAACGGCTTCTTCTACCTAGATTTCAAAGGATACTGCAAACACCTTGGGAGTCAGGCAGAAATCTGCCACAGGGGCAGTGCCACTGCAGAGATTCCCCACAAGGGCCATGCATAGAGGAGCCATGAGCATAGGATCACCACTGGGGCCAAGAATGACAGAGCCACTGACAGCATGTGATGCCTACCTAGGAAAGTTGCAGGGACAGTGTGCAATCCAAACCCAAGAAAGCTGAAGCAGGACTGAGGCCAGCAAAAACAGGCATGGGGCTGCCCAATGTTTGGGGGCTCAGGTCCCCCAGTGTGTCCAGGAGGTGGCACATGCAGTGAAGGGTTATCCTCCAGCTTTAAGACTTAATGTCTGTCCTCCTGAGTTTCAGACTTGCTTAGAACATGTCATGCCTTTCTTCTCGCCTATGTCTCCCTTGTGGAATGGGAATATTTACCCTATGCTTGTCCTGCCATTGTATTTTGGAAATAGATAACTTGTTTTGACTTCACAGGCTCACAGATGAGACTTTGCACTTTTAAGTTGCTGCTAGAACAGGTTAAGACTTTTAGGATAGACTTTAGGAACAAGTTAAAATTTTGAGAGAGAATGATTGTATTTCACATTGTGCAAAGGACATGAGTTGGAGAGGACAGGGGTGGAATGCTATGGTTTGCCCCTCAAGACTCACATGGATATTTGTCATTATGACTATGTTTGTTTGGGTTTTTTTGGTACTGGAGATTGAACTCAGGACCTTGCGCTTTCGAGGCAGGTAGCAGAACCACTGAGCTAAATCCCCAGCCCTATGACTATGTTGGGAAGTGTTAAGGTCTTTAAGAAGTGACAAGATCATTAAGAGGGGTAAATGTCTCTCTCTGTGGATTCATTCTCAAGGGAAGGGGTTGTTATAAAGCAGTCCAAGCCCTCATTGCTTATCTTTTCCACAGATGCTATGTGCTCTTCCGCTATTCACTAGGAGTTGAAGCAACACAAAGCCTTTACCAGAAGCCTGCACAAATGGACTTCCCACCCTCCAAAACCATAAGATAAAATAAACTTCTTTCCTTTATAAATTACCCAGCCTCAGATATTCCATTATTGCACCAATAAGCAGAGCAAGATAGGACTCTCCCACGGGGCTCTTGTAGTGTTAGAATCAGGAAGCTAGAGATCTCAAACCTCTTGGGGTCTGCATGTTCTCATTTCTGGGGCCTCCGGGCCTTTCACCTTTCTCTGAGGCCACACTCTAGCTCTGATCTGTGCAGTTTTCCTTCTCCCAGAGGAGTTTACTCTTTAACCTCTATTGTGTCCAATAAAGAAAAACTAGGACACTCAGGAGAATATAAGAATTGCAAGAACAATGGAAGGTACATTGGAGGGGCTCTATCTGAATTTTATAACAGCCCTGATGATAACTCTATGTGTTGGTGCTGTCATCCCTGTCTTCTTCATTTTACAGATGGCCACTGTGAGGTGCAGAGAGATTAAGCCATTTTCCCAAGGTCACAGGGATGGTCAGTGGCAGAGTGGGACATCAACCAGGCAGTCTAGTGCCAGAGTCCACACCCTCAACCACCAGGCCACATTGCCACCTATAAAGAAAAAATAAGCTCATCCCAAATTCTATATGGACATATAATCACTATCAGGTTTGGGCTGATACACAGCCTTTCTCTTTTCAAATATAGAAATAAATATTTTTCTCAAATTATTATAAAATGTCATCCTCTATGTTATAGCCTCTTTTTTTACTTTATCATATTTCTGTATCATAAAATACTCTCCACAGCCTTTCCTTCAAAATTAGGACTTATTGTCTTTGTAAAAATTTAAAAAAATCAACCCATATATTTACTTGCACAGGCATAAAATAGGATGCCCTAGTTGCTAGCCACACTGGTGACCTCCAGAGGGAGCTGTTGGGAGCAATGCTGCATAATTCTAGGGATAAATCATTTGGTTAGCCTAGTCCTCTTGCCTACAGCCCAGCTACAGAATAACTCCAGTTTGGCC